TTCTCAATTGTTTTGGGAACTGCGTTTTATTTCAAAGTATTTTTTACATGAGAAACAAAATAATCGTACATTTTATATAAGTAGGTAAGTAATATTTAATGTAATAAAGTTACACATTATGCTAAATGTAGGCACATTCTACAGTGGTTCTACATGTTACTAATACTAACTTATTTGATATTAATGTTCTTTGTGAATAATGTTATTAGAAGAAAGTCATATTTTCAAGTAGTTACTCGATTCCAAATTCTGTGCCTTCAAGTTTCCAAGATTTTTCTGATTGAAGTTGTTAATTGACAAACTGGCCCAAGGAATTATTTTGACGTTTCCAAAGTGTCCGATTTACAGATTGATTGATTACTTTGACCTTTGATTGACTTTGAGGTTTTCAAGGCTTTTGATTTATTTGGGAATTATTGATAAATTTATAGTTGAAGCCGAGAACCAGGGCTGGTCTTGGGGCTTGTGTTAAAAACTGTTCTGTTTTTTCTGTTTATTTTTAATTATTCGTTACCGATTGAAATGTAGGTTGTATGAGAACAAATGATTATAATGGTTAGGCCGGCCAAAGCTCGGCAAATATTTTTCGGGCTTCCAGGCAGTAATTTTAGTTAAAGAAGATAGATACTCAGTTGCCTTAATATTGTAGGTACATAGTACTTACAGACAATCTTGAGAAAATTTAAAGGAACATTGTTAAAGGGTAGACTAGTCTCCTTGTGTACAAATTGACGGCTGCCAAATTTCTCAGGCTAGAGTATCAAGTAGTTCCTAACGCAACTAGACCATGAGTGATCTAAGAAGGTGGAGTCGTCACATGAGAAAACTCTTTGTTTTTTTATCTATACCCGATAAACTACTGAATAGAATTTTCTTCTAAGTCCGGAAAATTCCGTTCAGGGTGCAAGTGATTCTTAAGGGCAAATGTGAATCAGCATAGAATAAAATGTAGGTACCCCCTACGTTTGAAAGAAACTCGAAGCTTTATTGTAAAATATACAAAAGCTATATTGACGCTGACAACAGGATTACCAGCAACCTTACACTTAATTCTTGCAATCTATTCTCGTCACGCCAACACGTGCATCGGCACCACGTGTAACCTTCTTCTTTTCATGTTTTTCTTACTTCCAGAATGGAATATCAAGTGGATCCATAAGACCTTTATTTATAAATTACTAGCGACCCGCCCCGACTTGGCATGGGTGCAACGCTGATACAAAATTTCTCCATCATTTAAAATTAATTTAAAGGTAGGTACAGTCGCAGGGCTTTTTAAGTGATAGCTTGGCGAAAGAGCAGACTGTTTTCCTGATGGTAACGGAGACGGTACCAGGTGGTTTGAGGAGTTGCGAGTGCGTAGCCGACCTTTTGGGTATTAGGGATTTGGAGATTTAGGGATTCGATTGTGGGAGGGGGTTAATTGGGCCTCCGGTAACCTCACTTTCACGGCGAAACACCGGAACACCGTTTCACGCCAGTTTTCTGTGAGTTCAGTCTATAGGTTCAATTCTGATATAACGCCTCTTTTGTCTTTTCTTTTTTTGTGACACGTTTAGTTTGCATGTCCACAATTCCACATCACTTACCCGTCCCGTTTGCTCGTTTGCCTCCTAATCTATAAAAAGACCAACAATCCTAAGTCGTATAAATTTACTCTAAATTCATTAAAATGTGTCTTGGTTTTTGCATATAATAGTACAACTGATGTAAACTTGTTATAAAAGAAAAAATTGAATGTATGTCAGGTACCTAATTTACTCTTCGTCCTAATCACTATTGAGTTTTTATAGGCAAGTGTCTCAAATTTCTCATCTTCACTGTTTACATACTTTCATTATGTGGAACTAGGTAATTTTTATTAAGATATTATTTTCCAATAATTGAATCAGTGACGTCAGCATTAAATTGCAATATGGCAATCGGGCGTTATGCATTGTTTATCGTTTTCATTCTTATCCTCATTACATAAACATTGAATAAATATTTTCGACCTGTTTACCAGATTACGTGTCGCCGAAACCTCGATGTTAAGGCCGCCGCTTCCCATGTTTTCAAATTTTTATTTATTCGTACAACCTTTATACAGCAAACACCAAAACCAGTCAACCTAAGGTTGATACAGAGAGAGTATGGTAGGTGCCAGACGATAAATTTGGATTATATACAAGTTATATTTACTTTCTAAGTTTATTATAACCCCACTGGCAAACGATGAAGGAGATCGTCGTGATTAAACCTGGACTTATCATATACTTGTCATCAGTTTGAAATCACAATCCTCCCTAGCAAGCGTGGCGAATGATGCTCGAATCTTCTCTGTGTGAAGAGCCCCATGCTCACTGGACATGTATAAGCTGATGATTAGGTACCAGTTGATGAAATGTGAAGTTAAATTCTGTATTTATATTTAAAATGAATAATAGCGATATCCTGAAAGTAGGTACATGTAATCGTATTTGGCGACCATCTGGCTCGTAAACCTACAGATAGCGTTGAAGATAAGGTAAAAGATAAACCAGCGTGTCCAACGGAAGGCGCCAGGAAGCCCATCTAAATTATTCTATATGTTATGGAACAACCACCACAACCGCTGCTACTCAAGATCTACAGTAGATACAACCATGAAAACACCGAAACAGTGAAAGTACGTCCCAGTGACAGGTACTTAGGTCCAGTTACAAGATAATATCTGAGAAGAAAAAAAACGAAAAAAATGAAGTTCAACGAAAAAACCCCACTTTTTGTACAGGTTGAAGCTGTAAACACTATAAATTCAATTCGACGGGTGTAGTGTTTTAATTAAGAAAAAATCGGAAAACTGTTTTAATGAAAAGACGAGGAAACTTTGAGATCCGAATGGAGTTGAAGAATACACCCAAAAGAAATCAATTAGAGTAGTTCTTGATTCCAATTATCATTACAATCTATGTATATGGGTCGCACTGTCGGGGAATCTTTAAGATAGGTCTAAGATATGTGAAGTTCCGTGGAAAAAGAAGACTACTTGTTCAGTAGTCTTTTCTTATAATTACCTAAAAAATTAAATGCTGTTAGTTAGTAGGACGGATCGGACGTGAGGAGAAAGGAGGTTGAGGTCTTGAAATAATCCTGAATATGCAGGGTAGGTTCAAAAGGTCCAAAATTAAGACAAGATTAAAATAAAAAAAAAATTGAAGCAGTACAAATTTTGCCGGGTCAGGTAGTTTAATGATATTTTTTCAACGTTTGGTGTAGCGATGAGTTTTCTGTTACTTATTTTGGTAATTTATTCCACTTTGTGAATGCGTGCCAAAGCATGGTCGTATAGTTGGCCGAGAACCAAGTGCGGTTACAAAGTTAGGGTTTTCGTTTTCTCTCGTGGAAGGAAAACTTATAAACCCTTAGATGTAGCAAGCGATAAATAAAACGACCACTGATTATTATTATTTTTTATGGGCAAGCAGCAAACGAGCCGACAGATTACCTAATGGTAAGCAAGTGGCGCCGCCCATGAACACCCGCGCAACACTAAAGGAGTTGGTTGTAGTTGTAGTTGGAGGGCATGTGCGTTGTCGGCCTTTTGGGGATAAGGGTTTTGGATATTTAAAGATTGGGAAGGGATACGGAGGGGGTAGGATTAGGTTGGATTCCTGTAACCTGATCCAGGTTTGGTTGCTTAACGTCGGTTTTCTGTGAGGCCGTGGTATCACTCCATTCAAGCTGACCCATTCGTTGGCTCTCCCACACTTGAAAGCTATTGTTTAGTTACAAAGTAGGTATTTTGAGATCAATTTAATATAGAGATCAAAATGATAGTGTATGGGGTTGTAAGAAAGTATTGACAGTGAATTTTTCTTTTGCTATAGTTTATATATAGATTTAAGTACATAACCAAAGTTTGTTGATAGCATGCACTAACGGATACCTACTCCATTTGCACCAATACTTGTTAAACGACAATTTTAAAATTTAACTTGCCTTAGAGTTTTAGTATGCCTATGTTAATCGGCCACATAATGGTCAGGTTACTCAGCATAGCGATTTTGTCAGCACTTTTTTTTGTCAGGGTATAATCATCAAATTACTTCTCCTGGCCAAGGTTAGGCGAGAGAGAGTGCGAGACTCTTACTGACTAACAACCCCTCGTTCCTTCTCCTGGTCTGGGCCGAGTCCGCGGTGACTCATTACGCCTAACCCGCAACCCCGGCTGAACATCAGTCCTATAGGGCCCCGTCTGTGGTGGTCCATTGGCTCTTTGAATGGCGCGTACGCTACGCGCCGTACGCTCGAGTCTGGTTCTGGTCGGGCGGCTACTCTTACTCGCCGTCCGCAGACCCGCGCTTACGGTGGCCGGAGATCATCTCTCGGTAAGCACAGTTGACGTGGTAACTGGTCTACCGGCTGCCGAGTAACGTGTCGCGGGTTCGATCTTAGCACCAAATAATTCTTGTTCGATGTATATTTGTAAGCGCTCAATATATGAGAAAAGCATGGAGCATAGTTAAAAATTTATAAAAAAATCTATATCATGTCCTTTGTGAACTAACGCTATCGAAAGATACGCGGCTTTGTTACAGAATAGTAATTAATTTTTCCTATATTAATGTCAACTGTATACTCTAATTCTATTGTCAACGAATTGGCAATTGAGATGAGGTGTTTATTAAATTAAAACGCTACTAGGTATTTCTAGTCTAAACTGATTTGTGGTGATTTAAAAAACTGTGCAATTTAACTTAATTTTGACGCATAAATATAATTATTAATTTTGACGCAGCTGAACACAACGTTCACGACTTCTAGATAGTGCGTTCATATCGAAGAAATTGTATAAATTGTATTGTCGTGTCTTCATGTTTAACAAATATTATCATAGCATTCGTTAAATAGCATCAACATGAACAGGAGAATCTGTGCGAATCACCACGTTCGTGGATTCACCACTGAAACATTCGACTTTGCGATGTTTTTATTTAGCGCTCGTGTAGTTTTGTAAACTTTAGTGGATATCCGTCTGGCGATGAAGTTAAACGCCAGTCGTTTCACATCACACTTGGCATACACACCGCATTATGTTCCCAAATCTCACGGTTCTACAGATTGCTCTTATAGCCCTCACTACGATATCTTGTGAAGTGACTAGAGACAAGAGGGGACGCCGGAAGAATGACGAACCTGATAAATCGTTGTGGAAGAAAGAGTACGAAGAGGAATTGACGGATGCTATCCTATCTGGCAGAAAGCAGGAGAACTACACCCGGGCGGCACAAGGAGGCCCCTCCACCGAGAACGATGCTGTCATAGAAAAGTTGATGGAGAGCATTACTTCCAGTGAAAAATATCTAAAGAAAGTAGACAGCATAGAATTCAGATTGAACAGGCTGGACATCGAAGTGCACGAGAAAACTAATGCCATTATCAAACTATTGAACGAAATTACAAAAACACTTCGTAGTGACACATGTTCTCAAAAAATGGAATCCGCATTGACTACCATGAAAAACGACGTGAGCTCTATAAAATTCTACGTAGAGAAGAATCCAATGCAACGCAGCAATGCACCTACAGGTATCTGTTGATATTAATTTTTAAATTGGCAATAATTATTTTTTGAGAATAATGTCGGTTTGTCAGTTACGTTACCTTGCCCAATCAAAGTGATACTTACTTCAATAATTTCACTTTATCGTTTCAAATCCATTAATTCTTGCACCTATCATTAAATGTTACAAGTTGCGTTACTTTCGTCTTACTCAATAATACAAAGACGTTTACGTGTATCTATTTTACAGTTGTATTTGTACTGTAAAGTTCTCGTAAAATCGAATCCGCAAAAGTTAGTTTAATATCTTCATTTGTTTCTCAGTTTAGTAAGCGGATAATTCTATTTAAGTATTAGGTACTAACCTACATTTATGAAAATGTTATCATAAGACATTATCAGTGACGGACCAGCGCCAGTTTTATTGTTTTATTGATGTTAGATTTGATTAGATTTTATTATTTCGACAACACATTTACAGAAAATCTATTTGGGAAATAAAAATAATAATTGTTTTAGTGTAAACTATGTATGTAGAATGTTCCTAGGACGAGTTAACTTTATCTATTACGTATCGCAAAGCAAATATCAAAGGTTCTTGTATAAATTACAAAGAAGCCCTTGAAACGTATGGAAAATTCTATCTTGAAATAGCAAAATTGATGTCACATCGTCCTGTAAATTGCAGTACGTTCCAAGTCAAGCTGTGATACAGATAAATTGATTCAATAGCTTTACAAATCATAGAAATCAAAACAAATTATACCAGTAGGAGTCCTTAGTGCATCTGGCCTCGATGTTCGTGCCCATAATTCTAGATTAACTACAGTTGTTAGTGCTGCCTTGTAGTTAGTTAGCTAGGGCAATTCTAACGCAGTTGACCTAGGATAACGTCCTTGCATTAAAGGAATCTTGCAGGTAAACAAATTATCTAACCTTTACACAAGATTGGAAATGATTTTATGAAAACCACGACTTCATTAGAGCTCATTCTTTGCCTCTATTGAGTTTCTAGTTATTTTGTATTGGAAATGTTGTACAGAACATATTTCGATGATAGATCCTACCTACTTATAAAATATATTTCAGTAGTTATGTGTAGGAAGAAGCTTTTACTGTAAAATTATATAAAAAGCGGTACCACCACACGTATGAAGTACTTAATGTCATTTTGCAAGTTAAAATGCACTTTGCAGCATTAAATTTTTCACCACCGACGCGCCTGTCGGTTTAATATTTTAGTAGGCGTGAATTTATCAATATTTTCATGGTCAAGCTATTTACGAACTGCAGAATGCTTTATAACTTAATATATATGAGTTACCACGTGTAAACTTATGTGATAAGTGAAGATTTTTGTGAAACATGAAAATATGCATGCAGAACGTACTCCAAAGTAGCCCTTTTTTGAGGGCCAAAAATCATATGGGTGTGGCGAGAGCCTTGAGCGAGAGCCAGAGAGTCTTACTGACTAAAAACCACCCTGATCCTTTTCCTGCTTGAGGCCGAAGCCGCAGTACGTTATTGCGCTTGCCTCTCAACCCTGGCTGATCATCAGCCCTGTTGGACCCCATATGTGTTGGTTTATTGGCTCTTTCAGGCAGGCACGGAACGCTACGCGCCGTACGCTCGGGAGTGGTTCTAATTGGGCGGGACTAGCGAGCTGTCCTTGTTCGCGTTTCCGGGGGCCGGAGATCATGAAGTAAAAATGGAGATCGTTAATTATACACCGTGCATTTGCGCTTAAAATAAACAGAATAATAATATGAAAAATACTAAAGTTTGAAGACCAATTCCAAATAGGGAATATCGAACTTTGTGTAACCAACTTTGCTATTGCTAAGAACGCTGTTTTGTAAACTGCTAACAAATCCCTAATTTAACTGGCTATCATCTTTCATACGAATTTTTTCCTTGCAATAACAAAAGTATACAATTTGATGCAGTCGTTAGCATAGCTACGTTATAACCCCGCATAAACATAGATATCACACAACATCGACAACTGAACAGCAATTTAAGAAGTTTGAAATACACTTTTCTTTATACTAGTCACGATAGCGATGCGGGAAAGGGAAGTTATTCGGTACCTAACTTATAGGTTTTATCTTTGATCTTACTTACTTAGTTATAATCCTAGTGAAAGAAGATAGATAGTGTACATCATCCCCACATGAGAATTGAGAAGGCATGAGCGATAAACACCACGGTTGCTCAAAGCAGATTTAGCGATTTCAAACTGATGGTTACAAATTATAAGTTCAAGTTTCTTCATGATATCTAAATAATCGTGGCCAGAACATAATGATACTTAGCTCGAAATAATCTTAGGAAGAACATACAGCTCGGAAAATGTGTCATTTTTCATTTGAATGGTTACAGGGAACATCAATGACAAACAAGTTCAGGGCCATAAAATAGCAGATGGCAATATAACTTTAAGGGCTGATTTTTCAATAGTCAGATAAACGTTATTTGAGGAATAAAATTATAGATGTCACTGTCTTATACAAACATTCTGACGCGACAGCATCATAATTATTCCCCAGGTAACTTTTGTCTAACCATTGAAAAATTAACCCTAAGTACCTTAATAAAAAGTGCATTGAACTTTAGATAACATTGTGCCTCTCTACCGTAGGGGAAGGCTACAATGTTATTCCAATACAATTATAATGCATGTACTTTACATAGGTAGGACCTACATGGAAGATAGGTAATCTTCTTACAATATCCCTGTAATACCATTTTTTCAAACGTTGCCATAATCTAGGACTTTCTCCTAAGTCTTCAAGATAATTAAGTTAAGAGAAACTATCCATCCTAATTAGTTAAGCTTAGGGTTTTAATTCCTTTAACTAATATTATGATTTTCAATAGAAGGAAGAGAGTACCGCCTCGATTCAAACCTGGATTCGCGACTCACGTTCCTGGAGACTCACTTGAAGACTGTGCAGGCTGGAGTGGAGTCCATAGTATCCATCATATCGGAAGTCAAAAACCGACAGTATGTTAGGACCTCCCCCGTCAAGTAAGTAGTTTTTCTATATTCTTATAGTTAAGGGAATATTCTATATTCTTATAGTTAAGGGACAGAGAAACTGTTGAAAATAACAGATTTTATTAAAATTGATTTTCCCTATTGAAATGGAGTAAACATTGTTTTAAACATTGCCCCACACTAGGATTTCCTCCTGTGTCGCAGTTGCGTTTACAAACATACAAATTCATCAACACAAGCCACTCAGACCCGTGGATCACACAGTGTTGTTCCGTGCAGGAATCGAACCCACGACACGTTACACAACAGCCAAATGCCCAGCTACTGAGTCAACTGTGATGTCAATTATTCAAAGTATTTCTTGTGTTTAGTCACTTCTTCAAACAATTTCACATACACACCTCATCTGGAGCCCAAACAAGAATGTGACGTTGCACGACAACCGCTAGCCTAGCGTCATTTGTGCAATCCTGTAACTGCATCATTTGAAGTGGGAAAATAATAACAATCCTATCTTAAACATGGCGGTAGTACGTCAATCTAAATTCAAATATATCTAAACGTAAGTGTGGGACAGCCATGCTTCGGCACGAATGGGTCGGCTCGACCGGAGTGATACCACAGCCTCACAGAGAACCGGCGTGAAACAACCACAGCGTTGTGTTTCGCCGTGTGAGTGAGGTTACCGGAGGCCCAATCCCTAATCTCCAAATCCCAAATATTTAAAAGGCCGGCAACGCACTCGTAACTCCTCTGTTGTTACGGGTGTCCATGTGCGGCGCTGATTGCTTACCATCAGGTAATCCGTCTGCTCGTTTGTCGACCTACTTATAACATAAAAATCAAAAGGGCAATAACTAGGTAGCCTAGATAGATTTATCATGAATACTGCAATCAGATCTCTAATGAAGGACTTCTCCACTATTCCACCTCAACTATTTCAAAAGAAATGCAATTATTTACTGCTGCTATCTAAGTCCTGATTTCCCGTCGAGTTTAATAATTCCATCGACCTAGTTTGTCATCCATTTTCCACGCTTCGTTGCTCGTTGCTCGGCAATCATCCTTCCAGGTATCTCCATTTGACGTCATTACTTTTCCGTTCCACTTTAAAGTTTATTTGCAACCCTTATCATATTTTTATTTTATTGTGTTTCTGAGTCTCCGTCTTTCAAGTTACAAGGGATAGGTTTGTTGTTATTGAATAGCTTGTTTTATCTTCTTACATAGAAGACGTGCGATTTTTTTTCCTATTATGTACAGAATCGATATACCTATTTATGCTTACTTATATTAAGTGTGGGAGAGCCATGCTTCGGTTGAATGGGTCGGCTCGACCGGAGTGATAGATACCACGGCCTCACAGAAAACCGACGTGAAATAACCACAGCGTTGTGTTTCGCCGTGTGAATGAGGTTACCGGAGGCCCAATCCTTCCCCTCCCCCAGTCCCTCCTAAATCCCTAAACCCTAAAAGGTCAGCAACGCACTCGTAACTCCTCCTTTGCGAGTGTCCATGGGCGGCGCTGATTGCTTACCATCAGGTAATCCGTCAGCTCGTTTGCCGACCTATTAAATAAAAATAAAAAAATATTCTCTATACACGCTTAATATACTATATGTTTTCCCTGTGTGTCGGTTCTCAAAGGACCGGACGTTGGTCGAATACATTAGCATCTATAGGCAGTTTGATGCAAGTTTTATGCACGTCATACGGCCATAATATCGATGGGAGCGACATTAAATTTCCTGTTTACTAGAAAATTGTTACTCTCAAACCACTCAGTTCCCATTTTCTCAATATAGCTCCATCAGTTTTGGTTTTACTAATAGTATTTGTTTAATTAATTAATAAGTATTGTTGATACATGTCTCTATAGGCATTATAACATTGTAAGATAGGATTTTAAGCTTCTTAGCTTAGTCAAAATAGAACTCGTTTCATGTGAAAGGTTTCTATTTCCGATTCGTAGAATTCCTAAAGCGCCTACGAGTGATTAATTTCCTCTGATGGAAGCTGCCGTTACCGCTGCTGTAGCTGTAACTATAGCGACTGGGTATCTTTTTAAGCGAGGAGGAAATATCATGATATGTTTAGTTCGATATCATCTTCTTTTCCTTTATTAGTAATATGACTTGTACTTATGTGCTGGAATCGCATTATGTAGATACATACATATACATATATACATATATTTACAATGAGGCTTGTAAATCATTGTTTATATGTTTATTTGTAAAAACACAAATTAGAGTCTCGTGTTAAATAAAAGTCTTTATGTATGCAACTCTGTTTTTGGACAAACCAAGAATATAATGTGTTGTAAAATCAATGACCACAAAGTACCGGATATGACCTTTGGTTCCCGTTAATAATTCGAGGAAACGAAGTCCTATTTAAAACCTACTTAATAAATTGACAAATTCAAAATCAATCAGCATGGATAGGTGTAGCACGGTCTTATATTTGACCAAAAGGCACGATTTCTTTTCTTGGAAATGTTTCAGGTAAAACGCGGGAAGCATATTTTATATGTTGATGTTATTAAAAAGAAAGTTGGGGTAATACGTTCTGTGCATACTTATTTATTACCAATAAATCCTCCAATTTTGTAAATTTGAGAGTTTTGAGATGTTCTTCAAATATCTTTATTGTACTTAAAATTAATGCAAAAGTTTGGGTGGAAAGATGTGTAGGGTGTATTACTAAAACTACAGAACAGATCTAAATGAGGTATGCTTGGGTATTCTTAGTCTGGAAAAACAAAATAGACTATCTTTGAACTTAATACTGCGGGCGAAACCGACGGCACAAGTTAGCATTACTTTAAATCTCAATATTTAAATTCGTATGAAGCCACTCGTTCTCAAAATATATCGGAATACAGTGACAATTGTTTTAACAACAATGTATCGTATTATCAACGTATATTTTTATTTCCGTGAGATATTTACACCGGTGTCAATCTCCTATGCGAAACGTCTTCGACTTTTGGTCATGCAATAATAAACATCAACTCTGGTGTGTTGACATTACCTACAGACAAACTATTACAATGGTTTTGTGGGGCTTAGCTTATAATTTACCTACTTACTTTTATGATATAAAGATAAATCTATAATATTATAAAGAGGTAAAATTTGTAAGTTTGTATGTTAATATGTTTGTAAGTTCGTAAGTTTGTGTTTGTAAGTTACGATGTTCCTGAGTGCTATAGGCTATAAAACATCACGCTGCGATCAAATGGAGCTGAGCAGCGGGTGAGACGGCGCGAGAGTAGCTAGTACATAATAATTTACTATTTTCGTGATAGTACTTCTCACCTTTTGATAACATAACATTTCCGAATGTTGAGACTGAGTAACTAGTGACATAGAGTAGGTATATAGGCCTCATTTAAGGAGACGCGGAGCGTCCTGTCTATAATAACATAAACAAATTTACAAATAAATTTGTTTTTGAAAGACTTTGTTTTTATTACCTAAATATGCAAGTTCAGGTTCCCACAGCCGTAAAAAATCTCATTATCATCCTGCATTCTTGCTTCAATATTGTTCAAAGGAAATAAATAAATGACGAATTTTAGGAATGTCTTGACAAAATGTAACGTTTATGTTGATTTGAAAGCAACTCGAGTAAAGTTTATTAAAGTATTTGTTTTGTATCCTAGAGCGGACGCTCCAGCTTCGGCAGACAGCATGTCTATCGTCAGCGAATTCAGGAAGATGCTTCGTGAACAGAAAGGCAAGAAATGCGAGTGCAAGTAAGTGTTTGATAATTGTAAATGCAACATGAGATCACGGGCCTCAATGAGGATTAGGTAGAAATGATGCAGATGCAGTTGGTTACAAGACGGATGTTTCGGATTGGGCGGGGGAAACGTCTGGCCATAGTCACCGTGAGAACCAACCCGTTGACCGGTGGCTGTGTCCTCTGCTCGAGCTATGCAGCACCATGTCCATAGGGAAGCGATCATTGTTTATAGGCCATTTTTCTGCTTCTACGAAGCCGTCATACTTGTAAAAGGAGGCTGTCATCTGAAATAAGAAACAAACCGGGACGTGCTTTTGTTGCGTCTCGTAAATGTTTGGACAATAAAATGTAAATATTTGGACTTTCCTAGCGAGTTATATTAATTATACATACCTATAGGTACTTACTCATTTTCGATGTTTGTATGATGTTCAAACTAGTTCAAAAATCGATGTGATGTCAAGATCATACATGTGAATAGGTTTTCATTGTAATCTCACTCTCCGCACGTCTACCGCCTCACTTAATCAAAATAGACCCCTTCCGTTACCGAATGGTTTTGGGAGTGCGTTTTCTGACAGTTTATCAGAGTGTTCAGCACACCCAAAACCACTGGAAATTTACATAACAAGGGGACTGGAAAAAAGGAACCATCTTAGTTGTGAGTCTTTGATAGAGGCTAGTAATAATAACATAACGTCTAAATAACGTATAACCATAGTTCTATTATGAAACCTGAGATGAGCTCTGCGCCGTAAATTGATCAGTTTGGCAAATATTTTACTTTTACTTAAAACATTTGCATTGTTGTAAATTTAAACAACGTTGTTTTGGACATCCACACCGTTTCAAATTACAGAAGTGTCACGAAATACTTAGGCATTTGCTTTGGAAAAACATGTACCCACTTTAACATATTTATTCGCAGGACTGGAAGGGTGGACCGATCTGAGCGGTATCCTACAGACTGTCACGAGATACAGATACAAGGATTTAACGTATCGGGTATCTACAAGATCAGGCCTGATGATATGGAGCCGTTCTATGTTTTGTGTGACCTCACGACCGCAGGAGGAGGCTGGACGGTAAGTGAAAACCATTTTACAACCTTTTGAATTTTTTCGTTGGTAGATATATAGTTAACCTAACGAATAACCACCTTTAAATAATTGCTAATAAAGTCAATTTTTTTAGCAACGATAGCTCGAGGTGGCTTCTTTATCAAAGTAGTGGATGCCCTGTTCATTTTATGATTAGTAGCAATTCATCTTCGTATTTCATAGTATTTAAAAAAGTCGTCATAGACATTGGTAAGTCACAATCAAATGGTGTATCCGTACCGCATTTTACGCTACGTCACCGACAGGGCCAGTACATTTCTATCGAATATTGACCAAAGCTACATTTTTAAATATTTTTCTTCACAATATTCAGGTGTTCCAAAACCGTTTCGATGGTTCCCAAGACTTCTACAAAGGCTGGAATGACTACCAGTATGGTTTCGGTAATCTTGCTGGAGAGTTCTGGTTGGGTCTGGAGAAACTCAATTATCTGACGAATCAGAAGCTATATGAGTTGAGGATAGAAATGGAAACGCAACACGACCAGGACGCGTACGCTGGCTACTCCGTGTTCACGGTGGGTCCTGAACATGAAGGGTACAGAATCAGCACGCTCGGCACCTTCTATGGAACAGCAGGTACGTTCAAATAAAGTTTCAATTCAACGTCACCGATCACCGATGTTAGCAGCAAAACGTTAGAGGGATGCAAGGATCGATATCGAGCCCTCAAGGATCGATAGAAAGAAAAGTAAAAAAATGTGTAGTCCTAGAGTAATTACCTAACTTTTTATTTTGGTAAAATTAAATTTTGAATATTTCTTTACTTGCCTGCGCGTCTTTACTGAAACGTCGTTTCTATTAAACTAGAAACTGTTATACTTGGCCAAATATAAACAGCTTTTTCCTTATTGAAGTTCTCAACATAGTGATTTAGGAAAAGGCAAAGACATTGTTGTAGGTACATACTTAGATACTTATATTTTTGATTTTACCATTATTCCAGGTGATTCTCTCTCGTACCACGCTGGTCAGAAGTTCTCAACTTACGACATGGATAACGATGAATGGAAGGACGGCGCTTGCGCAACAGAGCATGGCGGTGCGTGGTGGTATAAGGAATGTGACAAGAGGTAACTCAAATATTTCTTCATTATCATTAGGTATACAAGCCAACAAATGACTATTACTGAACATAAATACATATACATATATAGGTGGCTAGCACACAATGATTTGCCTAAAATTTTTGGGCAAATATTTTGGGTGCGTGTGGCTTGCTTACAATTGACATCGACTGGTCCACTAGAAATGTCTTATAATAAAAAATTATGCTCATTTGTAAAACAATTAAATTTTCGTTCCTGCTTTCCACCTCTACCTACTTCCAGAACGGTAGAAGTGGCTTCGGTTTGGTCAGTTAAATTTGAAATCGAAGTTCGTATCTGCATACATTAAAATTTGTTGATCGCTGAGATGGCGAATGAGGGAAGGTGTGCAGATTAAATGTAGTAGGTACCTACCCCGATCAAATTCCAGCGACATGTACGCATACATATAATACAGACTGTCTTTTACAACATTACAGTAATCTCAATGGAAAGTACTCAATGACCACAGAAGAAAACAGAGGGCAATCCATATACTGGATTTCCTTCAAGGGCCCGAACTTCCCACTTACTAAAACAAAGATGATGATCAGGCCACTACCTGCTAGCAAGCCCATTGACTACGTTGATTCTACCAGGGTAAAGTAAACCTTAAGACAATAAGCTCGAAAGTTTATTTACTCTTTATTATTTCATTTAATGTAATATATCTAAGGACTTATAACTTGAGGACATCTTGAAGCAACAACACTTATCTATTCAGTAAGTTATTTTATAAAAACCCAGACGCTACACAAAAAGTTTATTTGTTACCGAACCTTCGACGTTTAACGTTTTTATTCCGAGACATTCGCAAATCTTAAGAGGTTCCAGTCCTAAAGAACCTATCTCAAGTAATAGTTTATAATATAGCCCGTTCAATTCCTAATGGAGCTTTGGTTGCTTAGGGTTGGAGTAATTTAAAGTGCTGAAATGAAGCTATCTTGCTTACAATACCATTTCAAGCAAACTTCTAAAAAAAGACCATAAACTCAAAGTTAATATCCAAAAAGTGTTTTTGCATCAAAGCTTTTGTATAATACATACCTATTTACTTATTTTATTATTATGCTTCCTTTATAAACGTATACTAGTATTTATTTTTTATTATGTATTTGTATTATACACCAATATATGTGTACCTACATGTATTTATATATTTTAATAGGGCCTTGGAATGAGTGGCGGATTAGTAACTCACCAAAAGCGCGTGATTGGCAGCTCCAGTCACCAAATGCCATATATCTCCAGAAAGTCTTGGGGTCTCTAAATATATGCACATGCAACCGCTTCGGAGAAACACTGCTTGCTTCGCTTGGTTTTGCACATCTAAGTATATAAACCACTTACGCATGGACGGCAGCGTAAACTCACACTCAGTGGGAAATATTTAGCCCAAGAACGAACAGCTTATGTTCTTTTCAGAAAACTATAGAAGTTCCGCAATTGAGACAGGTGCCCGACAAAATTGGAGCAATGCCCAAAAAGTCGGGTCTGCGAACACAGAATGTGAAGGCAATATACGGCGTGATCCCCAGCCAGAATCAGTACAGATACGACGAGCCTTCAGCAGATGCCTTCTTCCCCAACAACGCGTGATCCGCACTGTCACTATCATGCACCGTATGTCACAATAACGTTATTATACATGTAAGAATTTCGTAGGTTCGTCATTGATGTACTTCACATGTGGTTTCCACCACAAACAGACCCGACTCCTGGTTCAGTCAATTGGGTAATGTTCTAGATCCGAGTCACCGAGGCGTTGTGAAGTTGTGTTTACTAGAAACACCTAGCTTAGCAAGATATTTTGATGTCTAAAATAGGGGTTATTGGCAAATTGTAATGCAAATTTTTACTTATGTACCTAGATTTAATATTTATACATTTCTACGTAAATTGTTTGTTTGTTTTGTTGAATGGAGTTGTTTAGGAGCGTAGTTTGCTTTTGCCAGTCCTTAAGGATATCAGAATATTTATGTTTAAAGGTTGCTTGGTTGCGATGTATCTTAAGCGATGATGTTTTCAAAGTAGATTCTGTGTATACATAATGCGACGTAAAAGTAACTTAATTAATATGTAAGCAGCAATCATATTATATTGTTTGTTGGTATTTTTTTATTAAGTTTTAAGTGTAATTTTAGCTTGTTATGTACCCGTCTTTGTATTGCACAGTTGTTTACCATAAAGCCCATTTACACAATGCAAGTATCTTGTCAATCCAATAATTGACTTGCATGGTCTAATCAGTACATACGGTACCATGTAAATGAGCCTTAATTTATTGAACTCAATTATTGTTCGAGAAAACGGTATCGTGTAAATGAGCGTATATTCCTGCAGACGAAGTCGTCCGTTCACACTGTTATATTGCATTTAAATGGAAATAAGTTATTTATATACGAGTGTTATAGCGGTTTAAGTTTTAATCCCTACATGTCACATGTTCATCTTGAGACTTAAATTGGTTAATAACTTCAGTATATTAACGAACTGCTATAAAAATCGAGTAACTAGGTTTATTTTGTATTGTTTTTATTGAACTTTATATTGTAAAGTGTGCAATAAATAAAAATCATATCATATCAGTCTCATTTGCTTTATTTTCCTTAATGTACCATGAAATTAGCTACTGCACGGTATTGAGCAGTGTTCTGTACATTTAAATTTCATTTTAATTACTTACGAATATTGTGTAGAATCATGTAGTCATATCATAAATACCAACAACATTCAAAGTTAATAAGTTTTTATTATATTAAAACGTTTATACATCTACTAAAATCTAATACAGCATATTTCTAAGAACCGTAAGAGTATTCATAAACATGACTACACAAAAGTACATTTTACATCATGGCAGTGCTCAAGCCGACTGTTCGTTATACATATACACTTACATAGTAACAATGACATATATGAACAAAGAAAATATTAAGATAGATGTACAACACGGACCTACCATCACTATTCACTACACAAACGAATCATGTAAAGAAACATCGAGCCACCTTGTAATGGTGTAAATATATTTCAATGACATAACATTAATTAATCATTATCCTATTATAATACAACATAATCACTAAAATATCGATCGACGTTAAAATGAATAAAACTATAATATACGCCAACATATGACGACAAACATTTAAAATAAGAAAAATAATTGTATCTCGTAGAATATGACTTAAAATAATAGTGAAAATATCTATTAGACGAGTGCCTACAACACTACATAATTATATAGTATATTACTAAACGTAAATCCCAGTTTGAAATCACTAAACTATAATATATTATGATGTATATTTACTGACCTGAATTTGGTTAGTGCCTACCTAGAATTGAAATATGTACACATGAAAACACGATTATATAATAATAAAAAGCCTGCGAAATTAGAATACAACAAAGTAAATACTATTTACATACACACTGTGTGTGACGAAATGATACGCTTAACTAACTATTTCCAAAATTTGAAGTCACATTAATACGTTGGTACTTATACCTTCAATAAAATAATAAAATTTTGATTAAAATTGCAAATAATCGCTGTCACGACGCAAATATATTATATAAAATACCTATCTACTAACAATAATGTATCCTAAAGAAACTGTGTAATAAGTAAAGCGACAAAATACAACTAAGTAGCACCACGGGTGTAAAAAGCTGTTTGCTCAACTGGAGACTGCTCCCACAGATATTATAATCGCGAAATAATACACAAACGCAGAATAAAAAGAATCGTTGCAAAGTATCAAATCGGATTGCACTGTATTGAACACGAATTTAGTAAAAAAGCGATTTCTTTAATATTAATACAACGACTAAGTTTTAATGTTATTAATTCTGAAATATTTAGATTATATCGACTTAATATTACGTTAACATTATTCACTATAACTGTGAACAAGCCTATAAATGTACGTTGTATCAGCGTTGCAACAGTTATTATATTATCAACATTTCTCCACAATGCTAAGGCAGGCGATCGAGTTACATTCGTATACCATGTATTAAGAGACATTATTCGATAAACTTGATCGATGATAAAATCCTGCTGCAGCCTTATTATACTTTTTGGTGTAAATATAACCTTACTATCAAGTTATGCAAATAAGCTTCGATCGAGTTAAATATCGATCGCCCGCCGAAGACTAACTATAAGCTATCATATAAAGTGTATACATACATAGATCTACTCCCCTACCATGTTGTTCGAAAGGCCGATTGCTGTAAAACAAAATTCTGTTCACACATCAGCCGATAATTATTTTACCCATTTACAATTCAATGTCAGATTGTTCAAATAATAAATGTGTACGAAATAAAAGTAACTTTGGAAAGCTCTTAATAAGTCAACGGCGGAGGCATCGAACTAATCGTTGTCACTAAAGTGGAGAGTTCGACGACTACCCGTTAGACTTTTTTTTAGAAATTTTACTTTCAATCGCCTTTGGATATCATTAGGAGATATATTAATCGTAAGCCAGATAATATTGAATTTAGTTAAAATGTTACTTATAAAATTCATTATAAACATTGTCAAATACTTTCAAAGTTACATAAAAACGGGGGAATAAAATAGAGATAGAGAGAAAGAGAGACAAAACCAATTTTAAACTAAGTACGGGTTTAAATAAGTAAACTTAACACTAAATAGGCGGAACTTTCGACATTTGTCCTAAGTGCACCATAACATTATTGGAATTTATGTGAAACGCGCAATGTTTCTTGCCAATTATACGAAATGTTATAACGGGCGACGGCTATAAGTTGACAGAATTATAGATAAGACCGTTAGTTACGGTGGGTGACAGGACGACGTAAATTTTGATGTTGAACAACTGTTGGCTTGTTTATATATTTATTACGTATATATAGATAGACATTATAAATCAATCTTGACTTCTCATTTATAATAGCGTAATATAATTGACAGCTCTACGGCTAAATGACGTCTACGTGACTATGGACGGGGGGAACGCAAGGAGTCTACAATACAAACGTGCAACAATGAACACAGGCCTTCGACTCGATTAATCTCAGCATAAAATTGATTAGTTGAAATTATGATTTCATACTGAGGCTAAGTTTTACCAAAGGGTGAGCCATAAAAGGCAGAACTTTTTTATAAACACCGTTAAACATCGGTACATCCTCTCTGAGACTAACATGAAGCTTACTCATATCATATTTATTGTAATAATAATACTTAGACAATGACATATTCAATTTTTACACTATTTTATTAAACACGCATCAAATTAAGATGATTATTATTTAGGTTACAACTTTCTTAGCTATGGGACAGGGCAAAAACCGTGACTAATGTTCTATAAATGGAGGTTGAACGGAAAAAGATGAAATGTATTGTTATCGACACATATAAATCTACTACACACAACGTTAAGACATCAAGTGTTACTAGAACATTCTATGTGATTTTCCACGTACACCGTATCGACACATAATCGACTTAAAATATCGTGACCTTTAAAACGCTATGTATAACAGTTTTCCTAAAATATAGGAAAATTCATCATTTCCATTCAATTTTCAAAAGTTACAAAACATATCAAGATTGTTTATAAAAACGAATTGAGCAGAAGATGCAAAAAAAGTTTCTTACTGACATAGAAACATCATTAATAATCTACACGTTGCACACAGTATGAGACTTGTGTTCTGTTAAATCTAACTATAATTCGTATTTAATAGGAATACTCCAGATAACCATTTAAACAATGTCGATTAGTTCAAAAAACACGCATTGAATTAATATTATTATTATTATTTCAGCTTATGGCTGAACAAATTAACTACAGGATGTAACACGAAGAATTTGCTAAATGCAGGTTGTATGTAACGACGTCACTATCAAGCTAATATAGAACTAACAACCATAATAACAAGCTCTACAATTGTCTACAGTGGGTATTGATCATTCATACGCGATCGGTGTAATGTATGCAATCCTTTGCATGTGTTCTCCTCCAACACTTGTATCTGCCTTACAAGTTGTTCGCGAAGAACACGGACAGCAAATCTGGAAACAATGAAATCATGTTCACATGGTATACAAGTAAATAAGGCGGTTGCCTTTTGCCTTTTAAATATGTTGTGCTGTTATGCTAATGTCATAATTATTATAAAATTTAGTTTAACAAAGGATACTGTGGCTCATTTTGCGATCCACATGGCAGGTGTAGCATTATTCCTTTTGATCGAATAGATTATTTTCTAATACCTAGATATAAGAAGGCAATGAGACTGGGTGAGTGTTTAGAGCAAAATCGATTTACGTAAAGATAACAGGTGCATGACATTCGGCTACCTAATTGGTCTACTCGAAACTAACCAACCAATCAGAGAGCTAAACGCGTTAACGCTGGTGTATACGTCGACACGACGTCTACCAGTCGTACTAGGCATTCACAGGAGTAAATAAATTAGTATATATAATTAGTGTATATATAGAGTATATAACATTTTTTGGTGGTATAGTGAGTTAGTCTTTACCTCAGTCATGATCATGAGAAGATTGCTCGCTCTCTGGGCGGAGGGAGTCGATGCAAGCGACGATCTTGAGGGCGGGGCCGAGCTTCATGGACAGAGCCATCACAAGGTGCTCCGGTCTAATCAGCAGCAGAGCTTCGCCATCCACCTCCTGCATGAGGAACTCGTCTGCGTAGCCAGCGCAGCCCGGAATATTGCGGATAAAGTCGCAGACCTCCGATACCTGTAAAAAGGAATAAGTTTAGGAGTTGCCGAAAAGTATAAAATGTAGTTACTAAAGTGTGACGTCTCACGATATTTGTCATCAATGAATAGACGAAAATATGTTATTTCAAAAGTGGAAGAAAATATACTTGTCTAACGTTTTAAATTACGCTATAATACAAAAAAAATATCCCCTCCCGTAGTTGGAGACTGAATACCTAAGAGGATGAAAAAAAAACTCATAATTATGATTTTCGAAATATAGATGATTCACTATCTTTATTATTAAATCAAAGCCAAGGGTGTATTTTATCGATTATAATAGGAGTATCTACGACCTCGGAACTATCATGGTCTAAGACTTTAGTTATTTTGTAAGGATCTGAAAACTGAACACATTCTCAAAGAGCTGATGATGATAGATTGTGTACTTACAGTCCATTTGTTAGCGTTTGGTATCTTGGGTGCCTGAGTGGTATCAGAACTGGCGCTGGCGGTCTCAGCCGTACTGCTGGCTGCGGCCTCTTCGTGTCTAGTCTTCGTGTTGGAATGAGCTGGAGCAGAGCTATGGGAAGCAGTCTCGTTGCTCGAGCTAATACGAGCAACGCTCGAGGCATGATGTTCCAGCATCTGCTTCTTCCCTGAAAAAATATTCATTCAAGTCATAACTCGACGCCTTTTTGTCTTATATGGAAAAAATTGTAACATGCAATTTTATATTACTTATTTTATAAGATAATTATTTATGAGTCTTATATTTCGATTAATAATGATTATTATTTTATTTAACTTTCTCATTCGTTCCGATCCTGAAACAGGCAGGTGACTAGACACATTAAATGCGTATCCCCCTTATCTTTACTCTTAAATACCATGAGCTTAAAAGCAAGTCTATTGGTTTGAGTCCAATTCAGCCCAATTTGCATTATTACAGAGAATTTATAGCCAGCCCAATTTGCATTATTATATGTATTATTATTACAATAAACCATGTTCTGAAACATAGAGAGCTAAACTCGAGATAAAATCAGCGTATAACAACGCTTGCGGTGTGTTAACTAGAATGAGGTTACCGAAGGCTCATTATTCGCTCTCCTGAGGGCGGAAACTCATGTGTAATTGCTCAGGCGTTGCAAGAATACATGGTTGATGGATATTGCTTACCATCAAGCAATATATCAACTCGTTTACCGGCCATAATCCACAAAACAACTAAAATATATTGCCGTTCCCAAATATATTTAGTCTCACAAACGACCTCTCTAGATGAGGCATTAAAAGTAGCTTAAAACTAAAAACTTAATCTATATTAGTATCTAATCTAAATTAGTAATAGTGTTAATAAAAGAACACTAACTCAACTTACGTGGCGGACCTTCGTCCGTCGGCAACTTGTTCTCTTTGTCCTGTTCCTTATCGACCCAGTCGCGCAGTGGACGATTAACCTGCACCAAATTACTCTACTTATCAATCACCCATCGAGCTCATTCGCCGGCACAATTACATAACAATAACACTATAGACAACAGAAAACTATTTCTTTATTACATATTGTTGGATGTTTTCCTGCATTTTTTATAAATCACCCAATTTGCGAGTCAATCAAGAATTGTTTTTGTGTTGTTGAAGCGATACATGTATACATACTATTTTGGACATATTACCCGACTTTTATAGAACTACCCGATTAGTTTATATGACAGACGGTTCATACAAATTTTATATGTTCTATATTCCGATCCAACTGATGAAATAGCAGAGGGAAATATCCAGATATGGTGAAACAGGTCTTTAGACTAATAAAATGTTGGACACACAAATTATAGAAACACAGATCAGCTGTAGACTTCATAACTCAAAACTGACGATGATTATTATTAATAGTACCACAAACAGATTTTATATTTAGCAACTTAGGGTTCAAATTGTTTAAATTACTAGCCAAAGAGTCGTACATACTATGTGATATATATGTGTGTAGATATGATATTAATGCATGGCTTATGCTTGTAGTGGCTAGGAGTGACTTCGGTGGCAAATCGTGTACAGTGGTAACAGACGATTTCTTCTTGGTATTTCCTTCAGATCTTAAATTACTCACGACATCAAGAAACATAATTAAATAGAATATACCTTATAATAAAACTCCTGATGCCGTTGAATATAAAAAAATAATTCACCAATTTTAGTTACATTCTTACGTAACAACGCGTTTCTTGAAGATTATAATCACGACGTAATTTGAATAGAAAGTCGAAATATCGAATTAATTTTGAATACCTAAAGGAAAATCTATGAGCCAATGGTACTATATGAATTGTAATGAAATTGAAAATGGTATTTTTGTGACGACAAAAATTAAAATGATATTATTTAAGCAGATTGTTCGCGAAGCTTTAAGTGAATGTCAAGGAACATGAAACTTACAGCGAAAGGCTCTCCAGCTTCCTGAATGACGTATCCTTCGATGACATGCGTCAAAATGTTCGGTTTCACCATAGCCTTTGGCAAGCCTTTGTCTGGAACGAAATAAAAGAAATAATTCCCGATACATGTACGAATAAAATAGAATGAAAGTTTTTAAACGAATATGGTTACTAATAGTTTTCTATATATCGGCACCGTTGTAAGCGCCATTGTCACAGATTAACTATAGAGTTTTTGACACAATACACTATTCGTTCACTTGCCATATTTTATTGTAGTTATCTCTTGTTCTGTTTATTTTAATATCTAATTACGATAAAACAATTTAAATATATTTTTTTAGTTTTATTATCTAGCCTTAGGCTGAATTTTTTATTTTTTTGTATATCAACAGATTATGTACCAGATTATACTTAATAATTCTAAACATGATAGATTTGTAAAAGTTATACAATAATTATGGAAAAAGTGTTCATACAATACTGACCGTGTGCCGCCTGCTGGCTCATGTGGCGGGGAGTGCATTGAGTACTCTTAAACAAAGCCGAGCTGGTCCCGCCTGAGGTGACCGGGGCCGTAATGGCGGCGGTCATCGTTGAAGACGACGACGTTGAAGAGGCAACCGTAGTAACCACCTGGATAGATAAGAAATAAAGTAGTGTATTTTGTCATATAAAAATACTTTAAGTGGGTCAGGATTTTAAGCCTTTTGATTTTAAGATAACATTAGATTAATTATTGCACGAGAGCTTCGACATGGCGTTCAACGTTTAGTGTAGTTTCGAAAATAGGGTGTTACACAATATTCAAATTTCGGAAAAGATAGGAATTTCCAAGACCAGCAGGTCTGTTGTATTAATGCCCAACGTCTATGAGACAAAAATTTGCGTGCTAAACTTTTTACATTATTCTGACTTTACGACCACGCCATCTGTTGGTTATTACTTGAACTACGTGGTAAAGGACGTCATAACCTTTAAATAACACGTACCGACGGAAAGGCTTTTTATTTGGTTAGCTCGGCTACTTACATTGGAATTAAGCCTTTAACATGAGATTTGTTTATTGCTTAGTACTGAACGAAGTAATTCTAAACTTTTGTATTCACCTGAGGTGCGACTGGAGTAGTTTGTTGGGCACTGCTGGGTACCGGAGCAGAGCTGGACGCTGCTGGAGTAGTAGAGGCTGACGACGGCTCAGCAGTGGTGCTGTGGCTCTCTGCCTTCGTTGGTGTAGACTTTGTAGTCTCCATCGGAGTTACCGCACCTACAATTCCAAGATCAAAATAATATTAAGATCAAAATATTCACATTTAATTTCGATTTCAAAGTAAATTTTAATTACATAATATATTTTATTCAGAAAACTCGTAATTACAGCACCCTAAGACCCATTTTAAGTCAGACAAACATGATAGGGAACAAAGATTGACTTCTTAAATGACGTATTGGTATTAAGAAAAGCGTTGTCGCACACTCGAACATTCATGAATCGTAGGAGCGTTCAAAAACGTACAATTTACAAAAACATTACACGCAGAATCGAAACAATAATTTATGGAATGCACATTGCAGTGCTGCCCAACCAGTCGAACAATATTACAGTTGAACATTTGAACAAAAGTTAAGTAATATACTAACCAATAGTAGCGGTGCTGGTAGAAACCGAAGCGTCAGCCGTAGTAGTAACCGATGAACTGAAGGTGGTAGACGTAGCGTCAGAAGTCTCGGGCACAACTTGCTGAGTCGGCTGGATCTGCAACACGGGCGCCTGTACGCGACGACGCTGTATTTAATTGCACATAGTAGAAACATACAAACAACATATTAAAGTATTACAATATTAATAAACGTGTTTTGTATTACCGGTGTGGATGATATTTGTGGTTTCTCATCCTCGGTCTTGACGTGGGTTACTAGGGTCGCAGGAGTCTGCAGCGGGAGTACCGAGCCTTGTACTGGGGCTGCTATCAGACCCACGGTGCCTTGAGCCGCCTGGAGAGTTAGCTGTGGAACGATCATGTCGCTTGATATTGAAGTACTGTAAACTTTGTTTTTTATAGACGCCAACAAATCAAGGTACATTATACTTTAACATTTTTCATTAAAGTTCAAATTCTTTTAAATTTATTTATTTGATATGCAGGCGGCTTTACAGCAATAATGATAATAACTATAAATTTCACAACAACTGATACTGTAGAACATTTGACTTGAGTTTTAAAACATTTAGCAGAACAAAAGTTTCTTTATAGAAAGATATATTTAATTTTGTAAATTTCGCTAAATAAAAGGACCCATGCTTATTATAGTTCGAACAACCAAAAGTAGCCAGTAGCATGCATACGATTATATGTAAATCTATCTTTTTTCTAACGGAAGGATACATGCACTATACTGATGAATAATTATATATTTATTTTGTTTTATATATTACTTAGAAAATATAATAATAGTAACTCGTTTGTGTCAATTTCATATAATAAAACGAGGAAGTTTAATATAGTAAAATTTTTAAATATTAACAATTCTTTTCATTTCATAAATTCTACTATTTTTTGTCAAATTTTTAGATATCATTCGAGATATATTTATATTCGAAGCATTTGTAAATGGTTATTTCCTTAATTGAATGCCCATGCACAAGGACCATGCGTCAAAAGCAAAAGTACTATAGTTACTTGGAATTTAAATAAATAAACGACAAGACGACTGTGTAACTATATACACGATACAAAAATTAACTACCTATATGTACAATGGTAAGAAATGAAAATAAGCGGCTAGGTCGTTTGTCTGTGAAATAACTTCACAAGATTTTTTGTATCGTTAATTATTTTTATGCAGTACATAGGATATGCTGTACTGATCATAGCAAACGCATTCACTTTTAAAAAAATATAGAATAGTAACAGAAGATATACAAATACGACCATAAAACTGAGCAAATAACAACAAATCAATGAGAATTGAACGAATGATATATTGCCATACAAAACGGTAGATTCAAGACTAACACATAGAAAAAAAGTATATAAATGTTGATTGATGGTTGAATAAAAGAAAATACGATGATAAAGTTGAAATTGATAACATTTGCGAGGTTGGTATGGCTACCTCATGATGTAATAACGCCGGTGAGACTTGCACGAGGGGCGCAGTCAGCAATGATGTGCCATCGATCGCGAGTCCCGGCTGCCAACGTTTTACCACCCAAATATACATATTACATATTAAATACATAACAATATTATATATAAGAACACTACATTATTACTATAATTCGCAATACTTTTAGTTGAATATAAAAGGGATGAGCCCCAGCTAGTCAAATTCAATACTTTTTTTTTGGCCAATTCAAATTGTAATAATAGGGTAGTTTCCTAGGTCAAAAATAAATTAATTCGACGTTTCAATACCTACACTAAAATATTGAAACATAACTTATTCATTTATTCATGAGTCTGACGACACCTACACTTAATTTTCGATATTCTATGGCAATTTTTAAGAAATAGGTAAGTAAGCTACGTTATACTTTGAAGTTTAATGCAAACTTCATAGAAAAGTATAGTTTTGACATTTGGATAAAAGTATTGAATTTGACTCGTTGGAAACTATCGTATTTGTGACTGACTGAGGAAACATTCAGATTCCAGGTTATATCAATAACGTATGTACATAGATATATTAATATACATTCTTATAATATATGGGAGGTTATATACTAAAGGGTTGTTCTTGTTAGACATGGAGTCGTAAAGTTGTCTATGTCATGCATGTCAAGAATTGCTATTTTTTTTAGTTTTCTATTCACACTTTTATCTCTAACGTCAATATATTATTTGCTTTGGAATTGAATATTAAATATACTTTTTCGCGGTTTTCTTTCTTTCGTATTAGAAGGTAATATTCTAGACATAAATATTGACATACAGTTACTGAAATGTGCGTAATCTTACGATGGATTTTATACAGGATCTGGACTGGATTTATGTATTTGGAATTTAATAGCAAACTATTTTGTTAATAAGAAACTGGCGGACTGACTGACTGGCATGTTGAAACGTTTATTTTGAGTACATGTATCAACTCAAAAGATGGTATTTATTATCATAATAATCGTTATTGTTTAAATACTTATCGTTCTTCGAGTCTATTTGGATAGAGACTATGATCATATTATATCACGCCAAACAGAAACGTATTTTGACACGTTGATACTTCATTAAAATATATCAACACCGTTCTTTTTTTGGAAGACATCTGTGTGCCAATTAATTGTTAAAGTACTCACCGTCTGCATAGACGCCGAGTGATTTAAAGCCGCTTGTTGTTGAACGGTCATGCCAACGGATGTCTGGACCAACCCGCCCCCTACCAGGGTCTGTGAACAAACAACGTTATTTTATAACTAGGACAACAATCCTATATACAATATTATAATGTGGTTATGAAATATGAAACCCTATTTGCATTTTTAAAAGTAACGAAAGAGTGTATTTTTATAATAACTAAGGCTCAAGAAAGAATTTCAACTGTACTCCCACTGTTCTGCAGTAAGATCGTTATTCGACTAGTTTCAAGCTATGCTAAGGGTTCATATCCATTAGCAGTAACACTGAGCAATACACGACGTGGCAAAAGTAACGCAGTCAACTAAATAAGCCGATAAAGATATTTTATTGCTTGAATATGTACCACAAAAAATGTCTAATGAAAAATATTGTACGACTGTGTTTAAACTGCAAAGAAACTTTTTGCATGCAGTTATGTTTAAACTGCAAAAAAACTGTCTATTGCAATCAGTGTGCAGTTAAAATGCAGTTTGCAGTTTAGTCGAAATTGCAGTGCAGATGAAATGTTATCCGTCTGTTGAGAGCTTTAGAAATGTATAATAGAATAAGGCATCAAAATGAAACCTTGTTAAATTTTGTGTGAACTTTTTTCCCCTAATAGCATAAAACGAAAGAAGTATGATAATACCTGAGGTTGCTGCAAAGTCTGTACGCTTTGCGGTTGAGACGTGCTCAGCTGACTAACCAGCGTCCCAGGTTGGCCCATGCCACTCAACTGTAACAGAATATTAAGTAAAAACATACCCAATATTAAAGAAACAAATGAAAAAGCCACCATCAAGCTAGAATTTCATGACGTTTACGAAATATTTGTTGGAACTCTACTCAGTCTGTTCATATATTTGGTAGGCGGGTAAGAAAATAAAGATCGACTCGTCTAGAGGTAGACTCAACTATAGACAGACACTGACAGAGAGCGTGATAGGGAGAAATGACACACAGAGAGAGAAAGAGAGGGGGGGGGGAGAGAAAGAGATAGAAAGAGAGAGGGAGAGATAGAGAGAGAAACCAAATAATATGGCTTTTAACGACGCCATATCATTTGTAACATTGGTCGACTAAGTAGCCAACCAATGGTCTTTGTAATGTATCAATATTTATGTTCGTACTTGGATGCTCAACAACTGGAGCGATAGTACATTCTAAATTATACAACGTCATGAAAAACTCGTGTTAAGCAACACAACACGTATTAGCAGTAGTTATTACCATAACAATACTCACAGGATGGATTTGTTGCACCATTGATATGGTTTGCGGCATACCTGCCATAGGGAGAGTCTGGGCGACTGATCCTACGGGCACAGTACCTTGCTGCATGCCCAGCGACATACCTGAAAACCTCTATCATGTTAATACAAGAACTTTATAACTCACAAACATAAAACATTGAAGTCGCTACAAAGATTGACATGCAACGAGCAATAATGCGCGTCAACGCAAGCCGGGAAAGGAGAGACAGTTGAAATAAAGTTGACAACATTCAAAATACCACGTTAGATGTATTTTAACATAATTTGGCTTGGCTTTGTCTCGCGCAGTAGTACAACCTGTAACTCCAATCGAAGTCAAAGTATCTAGTGAATGAACACTCACTCATGATAACTTATATAGTTCATCCAGTATTTATGTTGTATCTGACCTACCATATAGGGAGAACCTGTTATTACCTTGCTGCTGATAATGGACCATTTGCTGAGTTTGTTGCTGTTGATGCAATAACTGTTGTTGCTGTTGCTGCTGCTGCTGTTGTTGCTGTTGTTGTTGTTGTTGCTGTTGCTGTGGACAAAAAATATTCATCAATACAAATTCAAACGGCAAAGTCATAAACTGTACACGGAATAATATAATGCTATAGTCACCTGTAAAGCTTGTTGCTGCAATAGCGCTTGTTGCTGTATGTTTTTAGCTTTATCAACACTTGTAATCTGGGTCATCTGGCCCGTATTCATCAGCAGAAGTCTGCAAAAAACGTCTCGAACGATTAGTACAGGGGCCAACGGGGGAGAATTAAATATTCAAGGAATATAGTGGTCATCACCTCACAGATGATGTCCGTTTAATTGTACCGGGTTCAATGACCCGATGCCTGATAGCATGTATGAAATAACGCATAAAGTCGAGGGTCTCTATAAATGTTAAGTTATGGGTGTATGTGTAAGCTCATGCTAGGTAAAACATCGCTCGACACTTAACATATAGCGTTTATTAACACAGGTTTTTTTGGTGATCACTATTTGTATTATTGAGAGGTTTTCAAGATGCGGGTGCAAAATATTTTATAAGCTAGACCAAAAGTACTTTGCAAATGTGATATTTTACGCAATGCATCTTGTTGCTTTTTAAATCATTGCAGTCAGGAAGATAGGTCATGGTAATATTTAAATTTACGCTTTTACTAACTCATAAAATATTTATACCCACAGGCACTTCTGCTTTTCAATAACTATAATTATTCTGGGAGTGTTTCTACTTTAATTGGGCCAGTTAAATATATAATTTAAGGTATTAATTTAAAAAGACTAACAACTAACATAATGTACTTTGGACTTTTTAAGTATATATTTATCGGAGATGAATAGGGATGATAACAGCTAGTCAGGTAATGTCAACAAAATGCCAATCATGTTTGATTACGAGGGCACATTGGAGCGACGTCCTAAATTTTTGTCGCTTAGGATCCCATCAATAAATTGTCCGCATAAAAATAAATTTTGGTGTTGACTGTGGGATCTTCCCTATTATCTGCATTGTAAGTTTACAAAAAACTCTGCGTTAATAAATTAAAATATCAACGTACTATGCTTTAAATGAATGATTTAAAATTGCTAATGTAGGACCCTCATTGTTTGTAATGTAACCGAACCAGTGGCGAGTGACCGAGTCAGTGAAATCATTGCGTTTGAGGATGTCATGGTGAGGTTGGTTATCTGGCTTGGTCATCGCCACGGGTACTTGTAATTAGACACAAAAGCGGGGTGGGCGAGTGTAGGGGCACGATCAGCTACTACTCAAATCATTAGAGGAACTCACTGCTGCTTCGGTTGTTGGATCTGATGCTGCATTTTGTTGGTTTGGTTTGCTGCATCTTGCTTGGCGGTCGGAGCTGGTGAACGCACGCCAGGCTTGCCGCGTTGCTTTGCCTAGGACGAGGGTAGAATGAGATGCGAATTACATATTGTCTATCTACTATCTAACACTACAATGTATGCATTCATAATCTTAGAAAAATAAATTAAAAGTTAACGAACCTGATTCTGCGGCTGATTGGGGTTGGTTTGAGTGGACACCGACGAGCCAGGTCCAGGTCTGATGCCGCTGGAAGGCAGGATGTTGGAGAGAGGCCGTGGAGCCTTCGCCAGCCCATCCGAAGAGGCGCGAGGCTTCGATGTCGTCGAAGTAGCACATGCTACACTCACACCTGGAATTAGTAATTGCATCATAAATTACTAAGCAAAGCATTTTTTACATTTATGTCACTATTAGGGCTGAATTAATGGCGCAAGCGTAACAAACACATACACATCAATCGCATAAACGTGTTTATAGCATAGCTTTCGCATTATACAAGACAATTAGCAATTCGGTCACAAATACAACAAAAAAACGTAAATGTTATAAATAAATAGATAATAATACTAACTCGTATGCTGAACGTTGTTCTGAGGCGAGTGTTGAATGAACATGGACGGTGGCGCGTCGGGTTGGGTTCCTCGGATGAAGATGGGGTTAGGGGCGAGCAACCCTCCGGCCGGCAAGGTCCCTGCCTGGAGACCACCTGCCCACACTTGGGGCAACGCGCCAGATATCTGCCATGGCGCAAACTGCATCGTCTGACCACCCGTCTGCAGAACAGACCACTTTTTTAGACTAAAATCTATAAACTACATCACAAATTACACGAAATAACTTATTAATAAAAAAGAAGCATTTACGAAGTAGTCGCAAATTATAATTAAATATAGTAATACCTCGTTTAATATTTATATGTATATTGTATTATAACAAGCCGCTGAATAATTCGGCACTGCTTTAGTTCACTTTAGTAGTTATAAGATGCGACTAATAAGTAAATGTCTCTTTTACAAACTCCCTTATTAATGCGTTTTTATTTGTAATTGTATCATTGCATGGTGCTTTGGTGAGAGAGGATTCCGGTGGCTGCTTATGGATAAAAATGTCAGGACAAAATAAATTTCTTAATTTTTTTTTTTTAGTTTTACAGCTAATAGTCTTTGTACAGCCACAGGGGGATAATACATAAATAAAGAAGGTACTAATATTTCATAGAAAAAGTCTAACAGGTCGTTACAGGTAGGTGATGTTTAGGTAATAGATAAGTTTTCACATAATTCGTCAGCTTCAATAGATACTTTTTTGTAACAAAAACGCTTAGGGCTTGTTTAATTATATACAGCTACCAAAGCCACAATTGAAACACCAGAGGTAACACAGAGGTATTGCGTTGTGGCGTATTTAGTATAACTGGACCAATGTCTTAAAATTATAAAATTAATTTACAAGATCTATTTAATCGTTTTAAAGCCAGAAACGTGGAGATTGGACGTTATATGGTACAAAGTCGAAGTAAAAAACATTTATTTTAACTAAACTACCTACATGTACTTTTGAACCGTCAAAAAAAGAGATGAGATATTATTAAAAATAGATTATATAGACTAGTTATATGTTCGTTCCAAATTGTAGATTTGAATGGAGCCTTCTCCATTCGAATCTTCAATTTGGAGGAGCAATTTTGTTTTCAATCTCAATACATATTTGTGAGAACAATGCATCCCAGTCATTCATCAACAAACCTCGATTCTGGACAACAATAACCAAGCCCCATTTTGACAAGCATTTGAGTGATAAACAAAATGAAATTAAGATTAAATATTTGTGATGGTCCGATCATCACCATCATCATGATATCCAACTAAACATGATCCCAATAGTTCGCTAGTAACACTACTTTATGACCCAACCTTGTTGGAATACCAGGTAGAGGACTTAGAGATTCTTCTGTACTTCTACATACGAGAGGTTCGTCCGCCAAACTCTTACTTCCATTTATAACCCCTGTCATATGGAATTTTAATAATAATAATTGTAACGGTCAATGTTTATGATAGAAGTATATCGGTCTTATGAATTCGAAAATGGATCGAAGTTTCTTTTGTCATCAAACTTATGTTTGGCTAGGTCTCTTTAGCCTTGCAAACAGAATCCTGAGTCTCGCCCAGCAAGTATCCATTCACCTGATTTTTATTCCTTCTTCACAGTAACCATCGTCTACTACTAACTCGACTAAGAAAAGTACTTAATGCCGTACCAAATCTGTTAACAACATACAATTTTAAATAGCCCTTTCACAGCACGAACGCCTTCAAAAACACATTTATTTATTATAATCAGCAGCATATTTATCAAGATTTACTAATTTCGATATCAAGGATATGGCTCGGGTACAAATCAAATGTTATTAGTAGCCTGTTATTGGCCATTATTAAATTATAATGGGATTTCCATAATAATTTAAAATAATTTTCTAACCACTTCATAATTCTTATAATTTGTAGATGAAAATAATTATATGTAGGTCATCTTTATTCTATATATTATAAGGTATTAGATACATACCTGAATTGTTTGTCGGTATTGTTCTTTATAAATCTCTTATTGATAAAAGAATAATTTACATCCAAGTAGCAAGATTAATTATCACATGTAAAGATACCGTGTGCAAACATTACTAAAAAAAACATAATTGTTTTTTTGCTGATATTGCTACAGATTACACAATAAATGTAGTAGTATATACCACACTTGTAAAAACACAGAATACACAAATGGGAATCGCTTTGGATGGCAGTGCATAGAAATATTCAAATTCGCCGATGCAAAAAGTACGGGAAAATAAGTCTTAAAATGTAATCTTATAAAATAGTCGTAAATTAATCTTAATTATAACTAACAGCACATTCGTCAATTTTCCAAGTAAACTTCTATAAATCGATCAATTAATTATAATTATAACGTCTCGGAAAATTAACGAAATGTTTTATAACTTTTTGATAAAGGTATACAAAAGTATATAGCTTGAAATTTTAAGTGTTATATTAATTAAATAATAAAGTTATTTAAAATATGAAAGATATAATTCTCTTTTTACGATTCAGAGAAGCCGCAATAATGAGATTAATTTGTAGGCCTTTATCATTATAACTATAGAGTATGTTGTAGGTACCTGCAGAGGGCTAATGATCTGGGCCTGAGTCGGTTGCTGAGTGCCCAGAACTGGCTGAGAGACCTGCACGCACTGTGCTTGTACAGGCACCGTTTGAGTTACACCACTGCCACCAGCCTTACTGGAAGCACCCTTTGCACCGCACTGTCGGAACAAAATACGACATAAGTACTCACTTCACTACATAGTACAGAATAATAATATAACAGTGACAGAATAATATAACAGTGTACAACCTCTAACGTTTTACCTACATAGAGAAATTATTTTTCAAATTTGAAACAGTAATTCGAGAGCTATGCGCGTACATACAATGCAAATATACATTTCTATTTTTATAGCTTAGCATACACCACTAACGACTTCATTATCATTAATAGTCCGTAGTTATCAAGTGTTGCAAATTTTATATTTCCCGTTCCTCTAGAATTTCTAGGAATCTCTTTTTGCACAACGCAGTCAGTCAGTAACGAACGAGTTTTAATAAACATAAAATAACTAAATGTCAACTCAGTTTCCTCAAAGATAAATGTCAACTTTAACGTATGAAACTATGAATTTCCGCTAACAAGTTTTTAGGTCGGCAAACAAGCAGACGGATTACCTGATGGTACGCAACCATGGCCGTGCATAGACACTCGTAGTACAAAAGGAGTTACTACAATTGCGTTGCTGGACTCTTTCGGGTTATTAGGGATTCAAGGATATGGGGATAAACGGTAATCTCACTTACAAAACACAACGTAAGTGTTGCTTCACGCCGGTTTTCGGCGAGGCCGTGGTATCACTCCGGTCAAGCTAGCTCATTCGTAAAGATCAATTTATAATAGAATATTAGGCAGTGATGCAGTCAGTAACAGTAATACGACGGTGTTCATATTATGCAAGTGAAGATGTAGGTACATTTCATGTATTGGGTTACTGAAGTAACCTTTGGTTTCTAAGATCTGTTCTATTGTAATTGACGTAAATAAATTGTTACAACTCATAGTGGGTAGGTTAACTATTCCTATTATATCCATGACAGTTAAATTGCAACAATCATGCCATGTCTGCACTAACATCTAGTTGGTGCATAGAATCCTATGTTTATATCCTAAGTAATATAATAAACACGAAAGTTTATAGGAGATAACGATTATTACTCTTTAACGTAAAATTTACTGAACTCTTTAATGAAAATTTGTCATAGAGGTAAGATTATTTTTGGAAATAATAGATAGGTTACTTTTATATGTATTAAGTATCAGGCAAAGGCGTTGGCAAAAGTATTTATTACGTGATAAATATATTGAAGATTATTTAAGTTATACAGTATTCTTGATATCTTTAGTACAATTTATTTCTGATTTTATCAAACTATGCGTGTGTGGTCTTTAATAAACTACTAGTAAATCAGGGTAATTTATTAATGGCTCTTTAGGACCCATTTAATGGCATAAAAAGCTATTAACATAAAAGTGCACTTAGATGGCCTTTCCTGTGTAAATGAGTTCTACATGAATTTGCAACAATCCATGATATACGTGTATAAGTTTATTATATAAGGAGGTTATTAAGCACTAGCTACATACACTGCTCAGCTCCTATTGGCCGTCGCGAGTTGTTACATAGCCTATAGACTACCTCAAAAAATGAACTGTCTAACATAAAATAATTGTCCAATTCGAACTAGTAGTGCGTTCACACACAAACTCTTCAGCTTTACAATATTAAAATAAATATTAAAAAAATATCATACCTTGTGCATGTCGCTTTGTTTTTGTTGCTGTCCGATGGCGGAGACGGTGGACTGTGAGTGCGCGGGCAGGATGCTGGGCTGCGAGTTAATGACGCCCAGTGGGCTGAACACGAACGTCTGGTTCTGTGTCGTCGGGATCGCCGGGATAGTCGTGTAGCCCGGGAACGGAGCTGACGATACATAACACCAATCAATACACCCACGCAACGTACCACATTCGCCATCAATACTGTACATCACTACTAAACGACGACACGAAACGATCATTGAAAACTTTAAAAATTACAAGATAAATATAAAAAAATATGTTATAAATCCTTACACACCACACAACCCAACACTAACACGTAACGAATCAAGACACAATATAATGTGTGGGAAGCTAATAAAAAGCTCAACTTGCAATGTGAACAATTAAAAAGCCTGCGTCTGCAGTCTGCACTGAACACAGAAATAAACGTTGCTATAAATTTAGTAAAGCATTAATTAAACATAACAACATATTATGTAAGTGGAATCGCCAATTAAAATATATTGCGAAAACAAACGAAATCAACGAAATAAAATTCCCTCATGAAATAAATGGACATTTACATCTTCAATCACGAGACTCATAATAAACACTTTGAAAATTGTATAAACCTTGTTCCTGATACGTAGTTAGACCTGCAAAATTTACTGAAAAACTAAATAGTGTTGAAGTTCTGTTGCTGCTGGGACTATGTGTTGTCTGGGATAAGTACAAATGTGCGCTAATACATAACGTTACTGGCGATCGAGGCGAGCTACGAGCGGAGCTGTACTAGGTGTGTGTACATAGCGGTAAGTTATTTCAGCATTATTGCTGCTACTAACAGAAAAAAGCCAATGTTTTTTGTAAGTTATTGAGTACATTGAATTTCTTACAAAAACCCGGTACTTATTTTATGGCTTGAGTTTTCAGTGGACTAGATCGTGTGTATGAATGATGGACAGTAGTTTGCGATGACTTACGTCGGGCGGCTTCGCCGGAGGCCAGTCTGATGCGTACTCAAGGCGGCAGCGTCAGATAGTTAGACTTTTCTTGCGGCTTATCGCGGTAGTGTTGATTTACAACGACGCAGCGACGCATGCTCATCGGTTTGCGTGGATATGCTGACTTTATCAGTGGATGGATATCATATGGCTCAATACCATGAAATAATTTGCATATAAAGTAATATAATGAAATCTGACACCACGTTCGGCGATATAAACGGTTGTAAACAAGAAATTTCAATGTATAATCCTGAATATGTTAAATTATTGTGTAAAGTAAGTATGCATTGTATATATGTACCTAGGTATATGTCTAAATTCTACAGTATGTAGCTCAAAAAATTGCCCAGTGCGTTAGTATCGCGTACATTACATCAATAAGAACACATTATGCATACCTATACTATATACATGTGTATAATTACGGGTAAATATTTATGAAAGGCTATAAATATAATATTTGTAAATATGACATATTAGACATTATTTGCTTTAAAACTAAATATAACTCATGCGCCCTATAATGTGCTATCTAGAACTGCTATAAATATATGTATCAATATCTAGACCTAGACTTTTAAGCAACTCACCGGCCTGTCCTTGTAGGACTTGCTTTCCTTGGGTCGTCAGCATATGAGGGGTCAGTTGATTACCCTGGAACGGCTTTCCTGCAGCTATAACCTGTGCCAACGAATAATAAAATAAGAAAAGATAACTAAAATTCTTCCATATAGAAATAGTAATAAATCTATTTTTTTATAAAAAAAATGGTTTTGATAACATTAATGTACATAAAATTGTTTCATATAAGACAAATACAAAATAGAATTTAAAACTCTACACATAACATTTAAATTATTGACTAAAATATTTATTGATTTTAAATTCAACCTTCTACAAAAAAGCTTACCATAAATTGGTAGAAAATATTTCAATTTATTTAATAAAAAAAACTGCGAATATTAAAAAATAATAATATTCAAATGAATATGAGTACCATAGAGTACCGTTTACACACACTACCGTTTGGCAAGGTGTCAGAACTTACACTGAACAAAATATAATGGATAGACAGATAGACTCATACATTTTAATGCTATAACTATTTACAGAATATGTCATATAGACCTTTTATCATATTCTGTTACTAGAATAGAAAAACTTAGTTATTAGGTATATGTTGTTCTTTTCAATACTATATAACATTTTTTGTTATTGAAACTTTTAGGTACAGTTGCTAATATACCAAGCCATATTAAATCTCAAACTGTCAACCCATATTAAACCTTATAATTACTAAGAAACAAAGTTGAAAATCAGTTTAATAATTTATAAAAAATATAATGATCATTCTTTAGTATACCTTGAACACAAAGTTACTAACGTGAGGTTAGTTGTAACTACTTTTGGGGAACAGAAAGTGAAGTTCCTTTAGATCGGAAAAGGTATCCTCGAACCAGGCGAGATAATGCACAGTTATAGACAGTTGTAGATTTAGTATTTATATTATTTCGCGAGCAAACTTCATTACGCCATTTAGGATATGTGACGATTTTATAATCATCAATCATCTATGTGCGTGACCAGAATTCAGGGTTATCAGGACTATCTTCAGTATTGGTTAGTATATACTTAGATAGATATTTGACACATATAGTATGGAACCTAAACTAACATAGTACCTTTGGTAAACAAATTTGCATACAGGTAGTTAATTGAACTGTCTCATCATTTCTTAGTAAGGTCAATAAAATTTAACAGTTAGTAATAGCTTAGTTTAGTAGCCTGTACTGATATAGGACTACGTACCTGTATTTGCTGGGAATTGATGCCAGGATGTAAGGCAATATTGCTGGGCATGAGCAGAGGTCCTTGAGCGTTGTATAGCTGTTGCAAATAGGTGCTATTTTGCAATGGCTGCTGGATCACCTGGACGCGGCTGTGACCCCATTCGGCGCTGCAGGAATAGTCACTAATTAGCTTAAGGACATTATGTTTTTGTGAAGGGAAAATCATCCAAAGACTTCTCTCGCCCAAGGTGAGCCGAGAGGGAGTGTCAGATTCTTTGACTTAAAACCCCTTCGTTATTTCTCCTGTTTTAGGCCCAGGCCGCGGTACCTTATGGGGCTTGCCCCGCAACCCCGGTTGTCAGCCCTGTAGGGCCTCGTCTGTTGTAGTTTGATGGCGCTTTAAGGCTCGCGCGGAACGCTGTGTGCCGTACGCTCGGGTATGGTCATATAGCTAAGCACGTTTTGTTAATTTCAATTGGAAAAAGAGACGCTTTTGAAGTCTCATATAAATATATAGTATCGAATTGAGAACCTTCTCCTCAAATGTTAAAAGATAATGATATCAAAAACACAAAATCAAACCAAACCTGACACAACCATCTGTGGATCACTCACAGCATATTCCGTACGGAAATTAGGCCTATGACCACCCCGCTCCTCCCTCCCCAAATGTCTTTCAAATACTGAAGCCAATTCTATCTTCAAACTCAGACAGGCTAACTTATAAATTTCCTAAATTACTAGTTTTTTAAAAAACTATATAAAAGTGAATGAGTTAGCATTAAACATGCTTGCTGTGCATATTAAAACAGGTGGTGGATCGATATAATTGCTTTGAGCTTAGGTAAGTCGCTTTGGCCTACTACCATTTAAAAATTACTTATTGACAAACTGCATCATTACAATTGTAACTCCTAAACTACTAAGCTCTAGGAGTAATTTTCTTCCTCAGGTATAAATTATTTCACATGACGTACAACGTCTCATGTACTTTTTAAATTTATTTGGACACTAATGACATACGGCGAGGGATAATATCGTGAGGAAACCTGATAATTTCTAATTATAACTTTGAAATCGCTAATGCCTATTGAGTAAGCATGGTGATTAATGCTCGAATCATCCCCGTGTGCGAAGAGATCTTTGCTCTGCAATGAACACTTATATTATGACATTGTTTTAATCTACACATTTCAGAAAATATTTCTTCACTATTTGATCTATTATTTTACAAAAATAACTTTTTTCGTGTATATTTTCTTTATGACAATATTTGTATTATTGTTGCGGGTACGCGAAAAAATTCCTGTAGTGATATCTAACTTATTTAGATAGGTACACTATTGCCTACATTGCGGTAACAAAATAACTAAGACTAAAACAGCAATATTGTGTAAAAACTAATATGAATGGGAGTACCGGATGTGTGACCAGCGTGGCCAACCCAATATGTTCCCAAATCCCAACACATAGGCACAACGGCGTCAACAAAACTGTTCACAATATAATAAAACGTTTAAAATAAAAAAGTTACTGAGCAAGCACAACTTTCCGACGACCATCGAACAAAATTGCATGACGCAACTGACAACTAGTTAGGGACAAAATAAAACAAAGCCTAGATTTAGGCTGAACTTAGGTATCATTTCATATATGCAGTCTACGTATCTATTTGTTTAAAAATGAGAGTTTTAATTAATATTTTTTATTAGGTAGTAAGCCCGAAAGAGCGAGAGAGAAAGAGAATTTTATTATTGATTGTAATAATAGTCCGAAATGTTAATTGTCCGTGCAAGTGAAGTCACGTTAGTGGCACCCCAGTGGTTGAGTGATTCCCAAATCGCAAGCGTAAATAGTCTTTATTAAACTTTTTTTTTATTTTTCTTTTAATTATATTAATATTCCTAAAGAATCCGGAAGCAGGCTTGAGTGCTACTACTTTTAAAACTGGGGGTAAAAACATACGTACCATCCGTATGTTGAAACTAGAGAGTTGTTAAACTTAAATCTAGTGAAAACAGCTACGCGTATCCAAGCTGATAGTTTAATTTTTTTTCCTTACTTATTCATTACACTGCTGTCCATGTAATAATCGTTAGGTAAGTGTTTGAACAATACAAAAAGCTATATGGGTACAGATAGAACATAGTTACTATCTATAGTACGTAGATTAGTATCGAAAGCAAAAGATATTCTATAATATGTACTAGGTACCTATTGCAGGGCCGGACGCACATGTTTTTGCATAGATTCCATGGACCGTAGAATGGCGGAGCGGTCTATGTGCAGTGTACATAGCACGCTCGAGATCGCGGGTTTATAAACTGCCGGCTGAATTGTTTTTTTAGGGTTCCGCGCCCAAAGAGAGGAAAGCCCTCGGCTTCATCCCTCTGATCGGTCGTCCGCCTGTTCCAACCGCTGGCTGGTCTGTCAAACGGGTCTTTCGAAACGTAATAACAAGAAAAAAGTCGAAAGGAATTTTCGAAACTCTGTAGGTACTTTTCAAGTATACCCGAGGCAGGTTGCAATAAACTCGTGCGATCAAGTCGGATTAAACATATGTCATCAAGTTTTCAAATTATTATAACAAAGCTAATTATTTGAACCTTCAAGTTGATTATAATCGACAAGCTTCTTTGCCTACCAATTTTTCATCCACTTGTAGTTTGACCGTATAATGAATTTAAGGGACCGTTTCACAATGTCTGGATAGCCACTATTTAATAGACAAATGTAGGTAGTGATTTTGTGAACTATCTGACACATCAATTTATCTGGTACTATGATGGTGGTGAAACAAGAGATCAGTAGACTCTTATCGATTCACCATACAATATTCTAAGGCCACCGTTATAAATACACTTTAAATTCAAAAGAACAGTTTCTATTTTAGAATACCACTAGAATCAAAATGTAGTAGTTATTTAAAAAGATTTCCATCATTAAAATTGGTCACCGAGGTCAACGTAAAAGGTTTTTATAAATAAATAATTTTGAAAAAAAAACTATCCAGTTATATTTAAATACAGAACTAAGCCTAAACTATTCACGTTTGTTTTTTATACATCGCCACGATGCGCATAAAACATAATATAGGTATTAACATGAATTTGATTTGGAATTAATATTAATTTGTCTATTTTCCTGATACGCATACAGTAATATGGAAATGATATTTATTTATACATAAATACACTTGTTATGTACCTAAATACATAATAATGGGCACGACGGGAAATCACAATAGGGTCAATCAGGATTTTTAGAGGACGATAGAATAATCAAAAGAGATTTTAATATTGTTTTTTTATATTTGAAATAACTGTTGTTTTCTTGTGTGGAATAAAACAACGGAGTTGACGCGCATTACCCTACACACGGCAACCAGTATACACTGACCTATGAATGTGTGGTTTGATCACAAACAGTAAGGCCATGATAAACAGGTTTTGTACGGGTTGGTGCGTTGCCTAATTGTCAGTCTCTACCTAGTCCACTACATTACGGCTTGTAAACAGTAAGGAGTATCTATTAAATAGGTATTTTATACCCTCAAACGCGCAATCCGTGATACATAGACGACGATACGACACATACATTCACAGGATCTTAGAAACGACTCCAACGATTTCAAAGAAATTTCGTGATCCATAAGTTTTGAGTAAGAAAAAAAATCGAAATAAAAAAAAATCTAGGAAAGCTGCCATCCAGGAATTCTATGTACTTACTATGTATAAAACATATCGAAGTAAATACCTGCCATATAAATAAGTACCTAAATACTTTACAATTGGTTGTCTAATTGTAATTACTAACGCCCGATTGCTATAATTGAGAAACGATCCGTTTTAATTACGAATAGTAGTTTTGTATACGACTCGTAAGCTAAAACCGTTCCTATAATAAACGTCTCGTCGTGCAACTTACTGACGGTTTGCAACTAACGGATATCGGTAAGCGAATTGTATGGAGATCTATGGTGTCTGTGGTTTTCCTATAAATATTTTAACCGTCAGTAGACGGTCAAGATAACCATTCGTAATGTCATTTGGTCGTAATGCGTATACAATGACGATTCGTTAAATATAGGAACCGGGCATAAATTAATAGAGCAATAAGCAATAAGATACACTCTGTACTGCCTACCATAATATGACAAAATAGGTGCGTAATATTATTTATGTAAATCTCGAACTTGCACAGACGAACAAAACGTATATCATAACTTATTAATCGTATTAATAACTTAATTGTGTAGCTCAGTAGCTTTAGCAATTCATTATTTAGTTGTCCAGTGATCTAATTTTTTTATTTTAGAATGGTTTGACACACAGTGGCTATTTTGTTTCACGCCTTTTGCGTGTGGGGCCGTGATATTACTCTCGATCCAACCAGCTGTAAAGAAGCATGTCTTTTTAAATTTAGAAAATAAATAACAAATTACCTGATTTGTTGGGGATGTTGAGTGTTAGGCGGCAAACTCTGCAAGGGTGGCATGGTAGATATACTACCAGCTTGTTGTTGGATACCACCCCCAGTCTGTTGCTGCTGCACCTAGGACATAGGTCACTGATTCACTGCACTTTTACATAAAAATAACGTAAACAAACGACCAACAAAAACGATATTAATAACATCCAATCTCAATCTTCAGTAGAAAAATAAACGATTCATTTCCAACAACCTTTTAAAAACAAATTTTATCGAAAAAGAGTCAACAAAAGTACAGTTTGTTTAAACCCGAACCTCGTCCAGTACAAATGGGTAAGTTTCAATTACAATCAGAGAACCATTTTTGATGAAAACGTATTGAATCTTTATAAAGAACATGGTGCACGAAGTGAGGACGGTGTAATCGGCTGAGCGACACCAGACGAATAGATTCAACCAGACAATCCAAATGAGGTAAGCATCTGAATACATTTGGTTTTTATGTCCTAGGTCTTTGTATGTGAAATATATAAATCAAGTACCTGAATATTTCTTTTTGACTTGACTTTGACATTGTATGTATTTATGTTTTTTTTTAATATCAAGAATTATATCTAACTATTAATTTGATTGCATCAATCAGACTCGACAAATTCGATCAAAATTCGAAATTTAAAACTCAATTTGAAATTAATTCTAAATAAAAAGCATTTTCGATCATTCCTGTTTCCGGTTGATTACATCTCAATTTAGTGCTTACCTCCCAACTTCATTACAAACTAGGCCGAAATTAAGTATATTTGTTCCACATGAATGTTTTTAACAGAAATACCTATAATTATACATTTTGTGTACAATATCCCTATATTACATTTCAATGAATAATTAGGTAATTTAATTAAACCGCATTACAAATTAACCATTCGATTTGTTTACAGTTATCGAAGCGATCAAAAAAGTTTTATTTTATACGCGACCTCTGCGTTGTTCGAGCTACGCATTTAAAGCGTCAGGATCGATTGCATACACTTTGCATATACAGGTACTATAGGTACGCGGTGTGTGGGCAAAGGCTTCTGCAAACAAAGAGTGCTAACACGAACCAAATCGCTGCTCCTGCACTGGAGTCTACATTATTCAATGTATCGTCAGCTTCACACGCGGCCTCGAGTGCAGGAAAACCGTAGTTAGTCGGTCTTCCAATCAACACTTGACATGCTAAACCACAGCCTCTTCAAGACGTCAGAGATTGAGACCAAAGAAGCACTTATTCTATAAAAGTTTGTGCACAAGGAAGTCGACCAATCGTTCAATACTTGAGGTCTGCAAGATGCGATAGTAGTCAACGATATTTATAGGTACACGCGACAAGATGCGCAATTAATAATCGCATAAGGGCGATTATTAATTGCGCATCTTGTCGCGTGTTTAGTAACAACGTCTTTAGTAACAAGACAGCCAAGTTAACCGCACAACTGTCAACTATTTCTATTCCAAAGAAAGCTGAGACATTCTCAATCTAGATGACCTATATTTAAGCTGCTGAAAATATTTTCGAATGTTTGTTATTTTAAGCCCTTTTTAATGGGAGAAGATTTATGAAATGTTTACCTGATGAGTGGCCATGCTGCTGGGCATAGAGGATACGACGGTCACCGTCTGGTGGTGCTGCTGGGACGGCTCGTGTTGCGACATGCTCATCTGTTGCTGGACGACCTGAGTTTGGCCGTCTACTATCTGTGTGCACAAATTTGATCGTCATTAATTATTATTATTTAAAAAAGAAAATATTTTTTGTGTTAAACCTGTTTAGTTAAGACTCCTTCTGGTCTCTAAAACAAAGAGTAAAAACGGGACCCTATTAAAATTTCGTAGTTTGTTTGTCTGTGAACCGTGGTAACTAGACAGCTGCCGATTAAATAAGCAAAAAATAGAAAAAGAATAATATAAAAACTTAAGGAGCTCCTGTACTAACATAATAATATATTTATGCTCAATATTCATAATCGAAAGTTTATTACAAAGAAAGATTCTAATGCAAGCCCGAATAGTACTTCACCGTGATTGTAACCCGCATCCTAGAACTATATCCGCAACACTTAAACGGGTTACCGAACACAGATAGGTAGATATACCAGGTATCTAGTAATGAAAGATTCCAATACCTCAGTTTAGGTAAAACCGATCGGACGGATGGATATTGCAATGTCAAATTCACAAAAGCAGCTGACAACTAGTTCACAAAGTACATATAATTACGTACGGTTCGTGTTTTAAACAACTGTCTACCTGAAACCACACGTCAACGGTGATACCTAGCGGGATATCCAGCTTCATATTCCCCAGATAATTATTATATATTTTGCCGAATTTAAAGCTCTCGTAGCTTAAAAGTTAACAACTCATTTCACTGTGAAAATGTAAACCATCTTTAATACTAACAATCTCTTGTTTCGCATAATTAAAAAGTTACCTGTATAACTCTTTTTTATGCCATGAAATTGTCTCTGGAACTGGTAAATATAATCGCTAATTGGTTGGCATTAAAAATAGTTTTTATCCCAGGATCACGCGTGAAATACACACTTTAGGTAAAATACTAAACATATTCATTCATTATATCTATCGCATAATAAATGGTTTTGAAAAAAGACACAAAGATCAATAGACTTTCAAGTTTCTATGTTTCAATGAGGCAGATCTGAGAAGAGAAAAGATCAGTCGCTAATATTTTCCAAAAAATTGTTGATGGTAATTAATTTGAAACATATGAATAATCGAAGCTGTCACGGATCAGTAAATAATAAAGATAGCATATAATTCAGTGGGTATTTCAATCATCACTTTTTTCACGAAAATACTTGTTTATTCAGTGGTACTTTCTTATACATTCAAGATTAAAATTCGCCTGTCCCTGCCCTGTATGCTGTTTCATTTAAGACGATGAAGCAATTCTCGATGTTTTTCCCAAACAACAGTATTTTGAATAGCGGAACGTGATAACCTACGCTTTAAAATTTAAATTGGCAAAGTCCTAAATACATTCAATTTACAATTTCAAATGTGATCTCAGAATAAACGTTTTTCGCAACAAAAACATCAATTATACATTCTTCGATATCCCAAGGGACCTTATTAAATCACGACGAACAAGATTTTTTAATAAAAATGAAACCATACAAACTTTAACATACAATGAAAATATTATCAGCTTGATAATGAAACAGATTAAGTATATAAAATTTCATTCAAAGTATCTACGAATTCGCAAAACTTTTCTTTTGCCGAAACCCTACAATATATTTTGAAAGAACAAAAGCATTTTTAATATTTTATTAATAAAGATTATTCTAGGTTTTCATAACTTCTGCGAAACGACGACGTCCGGTTTTCAGTCAGTCATTTCCATCCTTTGTACAGATGATATCTTCACTAAAATGTGCATTACGGATCATCATCACTAACCTCGTCCAGAAACTCAATCTGATACTGCAGATAGGTGAGGATTTCGTTCGTCACGAAAGTATCTAAAGCCATCTTAATGAATATCTGCAGCAGCTGTTGCCGCGCTACTCGCGAACTATTAATTTGTGCGGCGCAGTGAGACACGTCTGAATTCGAGCGCGCATCGCAATGCACTGAGAGCGGTTGGGCCCTAGAATGAAACAGCGTCCGATAAACCTCTCTCTACGCAGCTTTACCGTGTCCAACGAAATTACATAGGTGGTTATATACCAAGCGAAATGTTGAAACAACGGTCGGGAGCTTAAGGGTTAAAACGGAACTATTTAACAGGTAACTAGATGTAGGTAACGTCGGAAAAGCATTTTCTGGAAATATGTTATTGTCATCACCGTTCTATACGTTTACTAAAACTCCTTAATTTCAACACACAGGTGAGTTTTTACCTGACTGAATTTAATTATTTTGCAGATAATAGGTCAGTATGCACAATAAGTAGTTTTAAGTATTTTGGTAAATACATGACTGCGGTGTCTAAAAAGTACTTCAGGTAGGGGTGAGTGAAATGCAACACTTCGCAAAAATTGCGGAGGCAAGCAGCGAACTAACTAAAATTAAGAAACGTGCAGTATTTTATATTTTTAAAACCTTAAAAGGTGACTAATTATTAAAAGAAAAACATTAAAAATAAATATTACATATAATAAAAGTGCTATTTCTTACGCTTAGTAAAACAAAATTATACCTACATAGAGCCGCAAATCTAAATCTACGCTATACTTCATGTAATAGAAAAATCATGACGCACATCATATCTCCTTACAGTCCAGCTTACTGAGTGAGTGAGCATTGTGCTTGATGGAGAAAGGAGAACCCGACCAATAAACTCCTGCTTAGCACTGTGCCACAAGATATCCCGGGACACACTGCCAATCTCGAAACACGTGGATAATAATAATATTATCGATTCACTGTCCAGTGATGCACACGGGTTTAAATTAATTTCAATTCAAGGTACATTACGACTCGTTACGCCCTTTCAATTACAGGGTTAACAGGTCACAAAGTTGAGAGGACACGGGAATTAACTCGCGAGGCTATGCACCAGCTGGACTCCCCGTTGACGACTGACCACAATTTTATCGATGCACCAATGTAATTGGTATCATTCACGAGTAGGCCAGTAAGAGAGCCCCTCGTGTATGGACTGATATTATAATGTAGCTGTTATACATTTTTAAACTATGCTTCGGCCCTACTATTCTTAGATCTAGCAACGACCGCTTTGTGAACGTAAAAGTGGAACAAGCCGACTTGATTGTATTCTTGAATAAATAAAATGTTTGAATTGCCTTAGAACGACAAATAATTACAAAGGCTTTGCTTTTTCCATTTTCTAGCAACTGCCTTGACTATGAAAGACGGCAACCCTAAGTCAATTTCCCTTAAGTCATTTAAACTATTAAAACCTCTTACCTACGGCTAAAAGTGCGGGGCTACTCAATAAAATAAAAAAAATGAAATACAGCTTAGTAATCATCAAAATATCATCCACAGCTTAAAGCTACCTACTGCGTAAATAAGAAGACTAGGCGCAAACTTAATACTTTATTAGGTGATAAGCATAGTAGTTGTATTATCGCCAAATGTCTAAGTCCTGTGCTGTTTTCTAGATATCAATATTCCTACATTGTAACTAAGTTTTGCGCCTCTTGCAGCGTGATTTCAACAGAGTATCGCTGTCAAATCCGTATATTATTACGTGTCACTAGTAATATTTAATTCAACGAGTTTACAAAGCAACAGTATATTTGAAATTGTGTTTGCTATTTGATGTGGCGCAAAACTAGTTCGTCTATAGTGACTTACTTGCTGCGGCTTGATATCTCCGCTCATTGTCTTCTGGTTCTTGTCAAAGAGTAGGTTGACGTTACTTTGCGGTGACGCCAAAAAGCTGAGGTTGATCTCGCCAATGCCCGGTAAGTTGAACTGGGTGTGCACCGGCTAATACCAAAAACAAACACACTCATAGGGATGCTGTCCGGTTCTCGTTTACTCATGGCTTTGAATAGTGTAAACTACAACGCGATCGTCATACAGAACAACGATCACAGTACAATGATGTGAATGCAGCAGTTTTACAGCTTTCTTTTCACCTCGTCGAATATTTAACGATGTTTATAACTAGCGAGGTAGGCCTTTGTAAGTATCGACGACCTAAATGACAGGGTTCTATTGCGAAATGAGTAAGCGTAATGTAAAATAATGTACGTAATCCTTACAATAATATTTGCGGATGAGAGTAGCACAGGACCGATGAAAGTGGCGTTAGCATGACTTGTCTAAACTTAGCAATGGGTTAGATTCAGCCAGTGGAATGATGATGATGAAACCTGTTCGCTACAATAAAAACGAGTTCTCATCTTGTCCCTAGGACTCTGTCGACTCGATAGCGTAAATATCGTAACGAAATTTCTACCAAATACCGCGCTACATATTAGGTAGATGATGATTGACGTTGTCAGATAAATGTATGATAACGGTGTCTAACCATCCGACCTATGATACCTGTAAGAGATAGGCATCGATAATTTATCTACATTTGTATGAACGTGAATAGGAAACAACACATATTATGTACGAGTTTGGAGTGCGGGGGTATTGCAAACAGTCACGGCGGCAGTAGGAGCCGTTCAAAGAGGCTGCCTATTCATAAATAATAATGTTAGGCAGTCAGGTGCCGCGACGCACGTAGGTATGTTTTGTCGTAGAATACCGTCGGCGTCGCGTGTAACAAATAGCATTAATGATTATTAGCTTGATGAGTAGTTGATGAGGTAATGCAGGGCCTAGACAGGTTAACTATGTTACATATAAATACCTGCAAATATTTCTGTTGCGGTTGGTCTCCTTGCTGAGTCACTTGCAACAACTCAGGCTTCTGCTGCTGCTGCTGCTGTTGTTGTTGTTGTTGTTGCTGCTGCTGTTGTTGTTGCTGCTGCTGCTGCTGTTGTTGTTGTTGTTGTTGTTGTTGCTGCTGTTGCTGTTGGTGTTGCTGTTGTTGTTGTTGGAATTGTTTTTGCAGCTAAGAGGAGAAAAATTAATGCAATCAATATCATGTATCATCATCATGATCCAAGACTAATTCAGGAGTATAAATTACACAATGAATTGAAGTACTTGGTTTAAGAATATGATTATTACACATCTCAATATTATAAAAATAAAGAAGACATCTTCAAGGTATATTTTATAAACTACTATTCTAATAGATATTCTAATTTTTTAAATCTTTCATCATACACTGAGTCATTTGATTTGTTTTTAAGTAATACTTTACTTAATGAGTATTCATACAAATTACAGTAATAATGTTGGGTCATATCTTATATCACTGACAATAGATTATTGAAAACATAAAATGATAGTTATTCACCAATTCTTGTTGGTCCTGATGATTTTTGATATGCTGTTGGATAGCTTGCTGCTGTTGTCGCTGCAAGGCCTGTTGCAGTGCCTGCTGTTGTTGTAACTGCTGCAACTGTTGCTGTTGGAACTGCTGTAGCTGCTGCTGTTGCTGCTGCTGAATTATTTGTTGCTGGATCTGGACAAGCCACAGGTGCAATCAAAACAAGATACTTAGCTGTCACCAAGTACCAATTTTGGAAACATAAAAGAAGCAATTGCAGTAGCAGTAGTACAAAGCAGCAATACTTGCTTATTGACATAAAGTTACCTGTAACTTGTCATCTTCTTCTTTTTGATTCCTATATCTGTACTCCTCCTGCTGATTATGGTTATCAGGTTCAGACTTAGGTGCCTTTAAGTCAGGGAGTCTCCTGTTAGTGGAGTTCTGCTTGTCTAGAGCCAACAAGGTATTAGCAGCCTCGTATTTATCTTCAAAAGTGATACCGGCCTTCTCAGCAAGTGTCTCCAAGTACTGAAGGGGCCTTTTGGCAGGCTTGATCTGAGCCTTTTTGTCTCCTTGACTGCCACCAGGTGACTGCTTCAAGGCAGTCTTAGTTATTGTGATGCTATTCTTATTACAATCATCCTTCTTTTCATTTTTAGGCTCTAATGTAAAGTAATTTTTATAAGTATTGTCTTTATCTTTATCTCCGTTGAGATTACCGTTTTCTATCAAAGTTATTGTTGTTGAATTTGCAACTTTTATTGATTTTTCTTTAGAGTCCTCTTTTTGTGGACCAGACTGGCCCAAGGTGTGAGTTGGGGACAACAATTGCTGAGCAGGGACATGCTGTGTTACCGGAACATTGGCATTTGATACTTCAGCAGAATGTAGGGGCTTGTCAACCGGTTTAACAAGCTGTTGTTGATAGTTAGAGATTTGTGGCTCCTTCTCCTGATCCTTTTTCTTCAAGTTGTCTAGGATTTCAGACCTAAAATAAAAACAAAATATTTGAAACTTGTACAATAGTCACTACTAATCACAATAAACTGTGATGTTAGCAACATAGTTAACATACAAATAACCAGTTTGAATATGGTCACACACAAATTTCAGATAGTATCATGAGAACACAATAACGTTACACAAATTGACAAGAATAATGAATTCGTACTATTGTTTATACAAAATGTATGTAAATCATTTGTAAGTTGGTAACTAGGTACATTTCAAAATTGACCAAAGTTAACTGAAGTACCTGAACAGTTGAGACATTTAATTTAGAATTCTTGGTCTAATAACAATCAACAATAAATGTTTGAGTATTTGTTATCTTCAATGTAAAAGGATAGGAAGGTACAATGATGTTTCACTACGATAAACATGAATTCCACTATCAACACGTGCCTATTCCTTCCACAAGATTCAACTTAATTCAGAAGTCAATTTAACCATATATTGTATAGCATTGGTACAAAATTATACTGTTAATTACACTACAAAATTTAATTTAAGATAATTGGTAGGTATCTAAAACTTGAACAACACAAAGTCATAACAAATTATCACACCAAAATGACAAATGAAAGAATGCATGATGATGACAGTGACATAAAACTTACACTTGACGTAACAATGACATTGACGGTGCAATGAAGTTGCCAGTGCAATAAAATAATAATGACAAATAAGAAAAACAATTAACTTTACATTTAAGTGGCAATACTTAGTCCTAGGAATTATGAACCTAAAAATCTTAGTTGCCAGGCGCGGAGAAAGTCATTCATCTAGATTTTTAGCTCACAATTCCTGGTGGTTCAAATATAATTACCAATTCTGGTTTCCTTCAATAATTTCACATAGTTCATAAGGAATACCTAATACCTTATATAAACGTGGTATAATCCGAGTTATCAATTTCTTCAATTCCTTTGTTATTTTTTCAAAAGTATAAAACATGATGTATTCAGTGATATACTTAGTCGCGGTAACCTGGAGGTTAAAGCACCCGTTCTCATGCAGGAGGGTGTGGATTCGAAACCTGACAAGTATCAATGTGACTTTTTTCGAGTTAATGTACTTTCTATGATTCTTATATTTTCTATGATAAAGGAAAATATTGTGTAGGTATAAGTTTGAAATCGCCAATCCGCCTAGAGCACGCGTGGCGATTGATGCTCAAACCTTCTCCGTGTGAGAAGAGGCCTTTGCTCAGCAGTGGGCACTTATAGGCTGATGACAGGTGTGTATTCAGTGATCATAAAACACTTTATTGCAAAATGTTTGATCTGTCATTTTACATAAAATGGACACCTATTAATTGTGTTAGAATAATTGGCTTAGAAAGTTGACCATATATCAAAAAGCCTTCCTCAATCACAACGAATCCTCTAAAATCCCAGTATTTTCATTACTTTGAGTAACAGAATTTCGGAAACACTTCAGCAGAAGACTTTTCGAATATAGAAAATTTTATTTCAGCTTAACTACAGAGCAAAAAACCAATTTAAAGTAAGGGGTTGCAGATTTGAATATTATTAATATTATAATATAGGGTGTAACAGTTCATGTATGTGTTAAAAAGGGGCTTATTACGTCATTAGATACCTAATGCATTTGGCAACTGGTTAATTTAAAAACCTAAGCTAAAGTATTGTTCTTGAGCTGAGTATTGATCACCAATATGTTTCGTTTTCTAACATTGTTTCTGTTTTAACCTATTATTTTTTAAGTTTAATAAGCTGGGGTTGCGGGGTAAGCGCAATTAGTTACCGCGGCCTCGGTCCAGAGCAGGAAAAGGATCGAGGGGTTTTTAGTCAGTAAGAGTCTAACACACCCTCTCGCCCAACCCTGGGCAGAAGAAGTCATTTGAGGATTTTTTTTAAACTGTACCTACGACTAGGTACGACTTTTTATATGGTTAGGCCCACTTTCTACAATTTTGCATAACTTGATAATCGAACGCTAATTCTAGAGGATTTTATTGCTGTCCCTCTCTACTTATGTTCAACATAGTAGTACTCATTGATGTTTTGTCAATTTAAGCTCGGTACACTTGTGTAAGTTTCAGAGCGTCTATCATGTTAATTGTTTTTTTTATAAATAGCTTCACATTTGCCCACAAGTTTCATTTCGAGTAAATTTATACTTTTTAACTTAGCAGCCGATAAGGTTCAGGTTCACTATTTGATTATTAAGACATATCATAGAGGTTCACTGTAGCAAACGGTTAACTTTTCTAAGGCATTAATTAGGTACCAAATAACAGAACTAATATAACAAATGGACGTAAGTATTTGACTATCTGGAGATAGTAAAATACAAATTATTCGTAGTTAGGTAGTGGGTGCTTTGTAACTTAAACAACATTTTTCTTAAGTACTTATCTCTGTAACTAAAATAATCAGAAGGAACCTATTCATTGTTAACAGTTTATAGAATGAGAACCAACTTACAAGTGAGTTTCGGAGTCGCTTAAGTTATTCTAAGGGCTAATTGGAAATTAAAAGCGGCCCAGTGACGTCAGGCTCTCTTATGAAGGGTTTTGCAGCAGCAACTTGCAGTTTAATTTAGATGTAGGTAATAAAATATCTAATTTATAGATGTCACTCAAACCAATATCTTCTAGGTGCGAGACAGATAGTACTTGTTGTCATACATTTTTTTATGTAGTTTTAACATTCTGTTATTTTAGAAATTACTAGCTACTCTCGCGCGGTTTCACCCGCTGCTCAGCACCATTTGTTCGTAGCGTGATGATTTATAGCACTCAGTAACTCACACATTGTAGCTATCTATCAGTGAAAGAATTTTGGCAATCCGACCAGCGGTTCTAAAGATTACCCCCTACATACAAACTTACAACTTACAAATTTTACCTCTTTATAATATTAGTAAAGATAGTATAGATATAGAGAGGAACACATATTTCACATCAGGCATCAGACTGTTAAAAAAAAGTTCTTCTAAAAAAAATCTAAACGGAAATACAAATAGACAGGACAAGACAAGACGAATGTATAAGGATTCCGCTTTTACCATTTGACCATAGAACCCTAAAAATCAAGGATAATTTTGCGGTGTGATTAGGAAACATGGTTGTCTGATGATGCTCAGAGTGTAAGCCAACGGTAAGTACTTTATATGACCACGCGAAGAATTTTAATTGCGAGTCTAGCTATGTATTAATTGTTATTGGTGGGCAAGTGTCATATGTTTCGTATATCTTGTACATACATCTTCATTTGTCTGTCGGTCTCCCAAACTTATTAACTAATAGGAATAAAATAAACTAATCCATAGGAACCACCAATAATAATAATTGTTGATTACAATCGTATTTTGTAACGGCTTCATAACTAGGACCCGACGGGTTTACGCCGTGCCGTCATTCATGGGCCGACCGCGGCTAACGTAAATGATTTAAGAACGAACGTTCCGTAAAGCTCGCTACCTTGACCAAAATATTACTCAGCCACGAGCTCCGCTTAGCAACACAGATCAAGTCCAATTACGAACTAGTCGTATGCAATTTTCATCCAATGTCCGAAAATCATATTTGTTTGAGATTCTTTCCACCAAATTCGTTATAGTAGCTATGATTTCATATGGTAAGTAACGCAAAACCAATCAGCAGATTCATAAAAAACAAACATGAGCTTTATGCTTAATTATCACTACAAACTTACGAGATCAGATACTGGTTTTCTCTTCATAGAACGCCGTTTAGTTGGCAAAGGGAATTGCCAAAGGCATGTGATGTGATAGATTATGACAAAAAGCTAAAGCAAAGTCATGCAAAAACATTGTTTTGATGTTCAAAAGAACATTCTACTAATACGTACGCCTAGATATAGCTTTGATAGGCTAGGCGTGGCGCATAGGCTGCTACAGTTTCAGCCTAAATATGTTAAGTAGATTTTAAGTTAGATGTGGTATCTATTTACCAACAATTTACTTGTCTGATTTGTAATCTTTTGCCATCAAATTGAAAAACAATTCAGACATGTGCGTCTAATAAAATAGACGATGAATAAAAAATTAAATGAAATGACGAATTAGGTAGTTTAAAACACTGCAACTGGCAACAGGAACACATATTTGAAATGGAGTGTAGTGTCTAAGATAAATAGACTGATAAGTTTTTTTTTCAAACTGAACAGGAAATGGGTAAATTGAAGCTGTACTTGCTGTGTTCCAAGAATTCTGAAAAAGTTCCGAACGATTAAAAAAGTACTTGTAAAACTTATTACAACTTCATCATTTCGCTGACTTCATCAAAGTACTCAAGTATTTTGTTTGGCGTGCTCGGACAGAAGGATAAAAAGATAAAGAAACGTTTGCCTTTTACATTTTGTTTTCATTGTTAAAGTTACTTTTATTAAGTCCCTTTCTTAGCAGTCTATTATTTTTTTATGAAATTGTAAACTTTTGGAGTAATTTCCCTTCTGTACCTACAACTTGGCACAAACTTATAAATAATCAGACGTCAACATTCCTACGTACTAGTTAACTATCTTGTACGAGTATAATTGAATATTTGGAGATTCCTTTAACTTTGAAAATTATCTTAAACGTGTGTCGATTAAATAATCGATAGTCGAGCAAAGGTCTTCGTTGAATCTATCATTTTGCTGTTTTGTCAATGGTTCATCAGAACCAGAAATAATTTCAGTTTGGAGTTGCATTGAAACCCAGCTTTGGATAAGTAAATCGATTTTGGAAATAATTACAAAACTGTTTCGGCTTTTTTACAAGTTAAAGAAAATTAAAAATGGTAGTTTTTGATTATAATGCCGAATGCTATGGTTAGGGTTGGGTAGGGTCCAATTATTGACTTCTTCCAATTGAAATTAAATTATGAAATGAAATAGAGCATCTTAAGTTGATAATATAAATACAAGACGCAAAATTCAAGTGAAATTGGGTTACTGCGAATTGTGGATGATACTCTGTCACTTTTAATTTAGAATTTGCATTGGCCAACAGATGAATCCTATCAAGTGCACTGCGTGCATTCCCCTCTAGTATGACCTGGACTAAAATCAATATTATAATAACATGTTTCTAGAAAAGTCCACATCAGACACAATTTCGTTAGTTAATTAACGTTTACTTTCTAGTTCCCAATTGGTAATGTTAGGATGAACTAGTTACCACATGAATGATCCCTTTACTGTTCAATCAATAACTAAATCATGATCGATCGTCGAGAAACTTGTTTCACACTATCGGTACGAGAGAGCTATCAATTTAGTGGCAGTTATTAAGTTAATGAAATGATTGGGTGACAAACTAGAAATACCAATTTGTAAGGCCCCTGGGCGGTAATTACAGATTAATTAAATTTCAATTGTCACCGAGGCTTTTTGAGGTTTGGAAAGAACTTGCTGTGTAAGAAACAAGTCGTGTAGAAACACCAGGAACTAAGTAGGTATGGTCTATGTAGGCTTAAAATCTATCTTCTTTGGCCTCATGTGTGACGGATTGACTTCAAATCTCATAAGCTCTCAGTCTGATATCACAAAAGGCTATAAATCTTATTACCCTGAACCTTAGTTTCTACAATTGTATGTAA